TCAGACATTTTGAGAGCAGAAGCAGAGAGAGCAGAAGCAAAGAGAGCAGTATTTATTGAGATTAGCTATCTTTTTTTTTTTTGTGTGTGGTGTTTGGATGTGTTCCAGCTCATTTCTGTGCAGTAATGATTGCAGCAGTGTCTAACCTATTTTCTTTCATGCAAAACCTCAAAGTATGGTGTACCAGGTCCATTTGAGTACCTGCAAAACGCTTTGCATGCATTTTTTCATGATGAAAAAAGGCTCTGGACAACATCTGGGAATGGAAGAGGTAAAAAAAAACAAACGCTTATAAACGCGGTTAGCTGCGTTTACACGCATTTACAAGCATTTGACGTTTGAAACGCTGATAAAATCTACTCCTGAATGCAAGTTTGTTGAGTTAAAAAAAACGACTGTAAACTCAACTGCCTGTAAACGACTGTAAACGACATAGTGTACATGGACACATCGGAAAACATTAGGGAGAGTTCAGGGGCTGCTGAAAAAAATGCAGAAAAGCTCCTAAACCTGAGTTTATCTGCTGCAGTGTACATGAGCCTTAAACCCAAAACCTAAAATGTAATATATTGCAGCTTACCAATCATTGGATGTGGTGGCTGCATTTGTTTTCTTTTTTTAGGCTTTATCCTCTCTGTTTTCACCTGGTAATCTGGCCAGTAACATACCTCCTGTATTAGAGTGCCAGCACTCTGGATGAAGGAGCAGACAGCAGAATTGTCAGATGGTGGCTAGGGTAGTGTTAAATGTACTGGCAGATTTATATACACTAACAAATTGAAACTACACTCCAGCTAATACTTTATAAACAGTTACATCAAACAGTTTCTTTCCTTTTAGGATAACGATTTTACATGAATAAATAAAAGCTGATCATTGTAAACACCCCTGCCAGTGTTAAATGGTTTATCTAATTCCTGTAAACTGATACATCTGGAAAATAGCTTGCCCTTTTGAAAAACAATAGACTTACTGGCTGGATCACCAAGTGAAAATAGAAGAAAAAAAAAGCACAAAAAAGAAAACAAATGCAGCCACTAAAGCTGGAGGGTCAGCATAACACTCAGGCAATTGGCATTTTCACAGTAACTCCAGTCCCATATTACCTAGCTTTTCATGAGCTATAACTGTTGTCTTTGCCCCATTTCCAATTTGTTCTGACACCAATTATTTGGACAGGATGTGAGGGGAAATCTCCCAAACTGGGACACAGACAAAAAAAAAAAAACTCATCACAGGTTCTAAACCCTTCCCCATTCTATCAAAAACAGGAGAAGGAAATGATTAGGTGTCAGGGAATATTTGGATTTAGTTTTTTAGCATCTGAAGTGCGAACTTTCAGTGTGCCATTGTAGTAATGAACCCGATTTGGCCTCTCGTTCTTCTAGGGCAACTGGGCTCCCACTGCTGTCTCAGCCAATGAGGAGGAAGAGTCCCCAGACAGCAAAGGCTGTTGGGAACTCAATGGAGGGGGCTCAGGTAAGGATTGGGTGGGGGCTTGGGGGGCCGCTGCACACAGAAGGTTTTTTACCTTTATGCATGAAGGTAAAAAACATGAGCCTTTAGAACCACTTTAAAGCCGTAGTAAACTGCAGGAAAAAAAAAAGTCCCCTGCAAGGTAATATCATAATGTGCTAGTATGCATAGCAAAACGAACCCCTCCAGTGGTCACCGCTGCAGAGGCTTCCATCTTTACCCGGTCTTCCTTTGGGGTTCGCGAGCTCCAGCCGTCTGACTGGCCAGGCAACGGTGACGTTGCATGCGCGCGAGAGTCCCAGGCCACGGCACACTACTCTGAAGGATCGGCACGGGTATGCCATTCCTTCAGAGGCCATGCGCTGGCTCTAAAAAAGGAGAGAATATCTCTTAAATGGTTCACATTTAGGAGATATTCATTTTACCTACAGGTAAGCGTTATTATAAGTTACAAAAATGAGTTTACTACCACTTTAACAAGGGTACACTATTCTTTCATTGACATTGGGGATTCAACTGACATCAATGATGGGGCACTGACACCAATAGTGGTGCACTATTCCATGGTGGGGGACTATTCCTTCCACTAACACCAATGGTGGGGACTACCACTGACACCAATGATGGGGTATTAATAATTCCCCTAGTACCAAAGTTGGGACATTGTTTACTCACATTGATTCTGTGAGATTTTCTAATCCCATTGGCCATGGTCCGCCCATCCTAAAGTCTGAAGCACAATAAACTGGTCCTTTGTTTAGAACGTTTGGAGACCCTTGGACTAGATGATGCTGGATGTCCTCCAGCCAAATAATGAGGCGGGCTCTGTCTGACTTGCAGCAGCTTGTAATGCACACTGTGAGATGTTCACAATGTGCAGTGAATTCAGAGTAAGCTATTCCAGCACAGGAGAGATGCCAATACAACTGTTCAAGACTGACAGCAAGGCTGGAGCTCAGCTTTTAAAAAGGGACCCTTCTCTCCCCTGCCATGTTGGTGGAAGCTTCATAATGACGTGTTTTTTATAATCAGATTTCATGGGGTTCCAGTGACTTTTGCCTTAATACTGGATATTAAATTAGAGATTTTGAAAGGAACAAATGCAGCTGAGTTTCCAGTGCCGATCACTTGGAATTACCAGAATGAATCTAAAGCTGAATTAAAGCCATTCATTAACCCTTTCACTGCCAGAACCGTTTTTGCATTTTTTTTTTTTTGCAAAGCAAAAAATCATTTTAGGCCTGAAGAGTACACAAAACCCCCAAAAACATATATTTTCTGAAAGCATACACCCTAGAGAATAAATAGTGGTAGTTCAAATTTTTTATGCCACACAATATTACGCAAAAGACTAGGAAGCGCAAAAGTTCAGTAAAAAAACACACTAAAGTGACTTTTAGGGCAAACAAATGCAATAAATTACCCACATTTTTGATAAAATATAAAAGACGAGGTTGTGCCAAGTAAATAGATACCCAGCATGTTAAACCTTATATTGCATGCTCCTGTGAAATGGTGACAAACTTCAATACTTCAGTATAGTATATTTTCTATAGGCGACGCTTCAAAAGCCCCTACAGGTCATCAGTTTAGTGTTATGGAGGAGGCCTTGTGCTAGAAATATTGCGTGCTTGGCATGTAATGTGTGTATTGCAATCAATATTTTCTTGTGTAGTCGCCCCTGACGCATGAGTTTACGTTCGTACGTGTGCAAATGTGGGGGTGGGGGGCCTCAAAACATTTTGGGGGGATGCTATGTGTTTGCAACAAACATTTTTTTTTTTTACTTAACTTTTTTTTTCATCACATAGGGGACATAAATTCCCTAATGTGATGATTTATAGGTGATAGGTTCTCTCTAAAAGACCCTGCATGTCTCCTCTGGGCTCCACTGGATGTATTGCAATCAGGGGCGGACTGACAACTCATGGGGCCCCCGGGCAATAGGGGATCATGGGGCCCCTGTGTCCTTGCCCAAACTCAAAAAAGCCTAAGAAAAAGGTACCAGGGGCATCTCATAGGGCCCCTGGGCAGTGCCCGAGTTTTCAAATGGTCGGTCCGCCCCTGATTGCAATGTAGATCGCATTGCAATACATCTCTCATCGGCCACTCTAGCAGGGGAAAGTGACAACAGTGACCCGGAAGGGACGTCATGCACATCGCTTTCCGGATCACAGCAAGAAGGGGAGGAGAGCAGATGTGTGTCCGCTTTCCTCTGGTCCTCTCCATCCTCCAGCACCCACCATGTTGGCCCCAGGCCTGCAGATGGGCAAGCGGAGCACCTGGTGGGAGAGCACGTTACTGGGAGCTGTGGAAGCAATCAGGCGGCAGAGTAGCCATCCGACTGCTTCCATCTGACACGCAGGAGCCTGCCTGTCAGTTTTAAACACAATCCTGGTGGCTTCAGCCAGTACCATCAATTTACGCAGCGCTTTGCATATATGTATTGTACATTCACATCAGTCCCTAACCCTCAAGAAGTCTACAATCTAAGGTCCCTAACTAACATTCATATACAAGGGCCAATTTAGACAGGAGCCAATTAACCTACCAGCATATCTTTGGAGTGTGGGAGGAAACCCACACAGGCACAGGGAGAACATGCAAACTCCAGGCAGGTGATACTGTGGTTGGTATTTGAACCAATGACCCTAGTACTGCCAGGCAGAGGTGCTAACCATTTAGCCACTGTGCTATACATAAACTTTGAACCTTGCCCCCCAGGCAAATAATTGGTCCTGTTGTTCTCTCCATACAGGGGTGTTCAGATTTGCACTAACCCCAATACTTATCACGGTCAGAAAAACTGAAACTGACGTGTTGCGTTCAAGAAATGTTATAGTACAGTGAGCAAGTAGCAATCCAAATGGAACGATAGTAGAAACTTGCTAGCCTGGTGCCACAATTGTCGTCATGTGAAATCCTGAAAATATGGAAAAATGTGCAATGTATAATTAGCTGGAGGCCTGGATTTATTATGCAATGCGCGTTGGTGTATGTTTACACTGCCGCCTTTGTATATGGTCCACCGCCAGTCAGCACAGGGTTAATCGATGACGTTCCACCTCAGCTGGCCTTTCATTGGCTGTACCATTGTCCTTCTGTCAGCCCATGCTGGCTGCGGAATTTCCCTTCTCTGTGAGTCATCAGTTAACCCTCAGCCCGCCAGGCTGTGGGGAGGAGAGGCAGCCAGTGTCTCTTGATCCAGGATTGAAAGGGTGAAAGTGCAGAGGGAGAGAGGAAAGTGAGGGAGGGGGAAGCAGACACAGAGAGGAAGGACAGGAGGGGGGGGAGATCTTGTTTTGCTCTGTCCTAGTTATGGGAAGTACAGTATGAACTAAGCTGAAGACACTGAGCTGAGCTACACAGCCCAGCAGCAAGAGTACCAGTCTACAGGCCATAGAGAGGGAGGCCAGGGCGAACAGAAAACTTGCTTCGGCGGAACAGGTGACCACGGTTGAAGAGAGAACGCGTCAACAAAGGTGGACTACCTGGGATCCACCGTTTACGGCAACTCCCCAGAGATGTCTCATGATATAGGCTGTGAGGACCCCACAGTGCACAGCCCCCCACAACATACAGTCTATGTCCTGGTGGGCTCCAGCGCAGACAGCATTCAGCTGCTGAGGTAAGGCAGAGCTTCGTAACGCTCACTACCGCCTCGTTGTGTGTATGTGCGTCTCCAAGTTGGCCCTGCGCAGCTTGTGTTGGTGCAGAGTGCGTGGCTGGCGAAGAGACGGTTGCGTACAGTTGGGCTGTGTAGAGCTGACTCCATACGGAACAGCTTTTTCCACACCTGAGATATCTTTGGCCAGCCAAAGCCATTGTAAGGCAACTTTTATTTTGGAAGTTGATTTGGGATGAACACCTAAGATGCTTGGATTTCATAAAAATTTCAGGAAAAGGGCTACCTTTTGAAAATATGTCTTTGGAAACTTTGGTCCCTGCCAATGACCCCTTCTAATCTGTACCTTGAATATTTTTCAGCATACCTTCCTGGCAACAAAGTGTCCTGTAAAATTATTGCAAAGTATTGGCATCTATTTTGTATTGCTGGGTACATCACTTAGGTAGATGGCCATAGCAGACTGGCCAAACTATTATTGCCATTCTATAAAGTAACTGTAGGCCCCAGGAGTCTTTAGGTCCTCAACATTTTGAAGGGACGCAGCCTGTCCAAGACTGGTAGGGTATAAGCAAGTGATCCCACCATTTTCAGCACCATTTGCAACAATCGGCCCATGTAATGAGCTCTTCCTATCATCTGAAGTTATTGTGATTGCAAAATAGATTTTCCAGCACAGTGCAAAATACCTTCACTACAGATGGTTGTCCATGCTGCTTTGAACTCATAAAAGGAGAAGAAGCTTGCGTGCTTGGAAAAAATCAAGGTGGTTCTAGGATGGAAAGGTACCCCACAGCCCATCATTCTGAACTTAGAGCAGTGGGGTGCTGAGAAAGATGGTGGGGGGCTAAATGCTGAAAATCGTTCTGGGGAGGAAGGGGGGTAAAAATTCCTGGTATTGAAGTGGTTAACTCAAAAGGGGAAGAAGCTTGCGTGCTTGGAAAAAATCAAGGTGGTTCTAGGATGGAAAAGTACCCCACAGCCCATCATTCTCAACTTAGCACAGTGGGGTGCTGAGAAAAGAGGGTGGGGGGGCCACAGGCAGGATGAACGCACTGAAGCAATACGCAGTTTTTGCTTAGTCATTCAGCTCAACACAGTCAAAGGAAAACAGGGACACCGGTCTGTTTTTATCTATTTATACACACATCCAGCAGGCTCAACATAGCAACCTCAAATTACACCCTGACTCAGAGAGGGTTAATCAGTCGCCACTGGCCTAATAAATAAAGGAGGGCAAAAATCATCACAAAACCAAGGTTGTGCAAAGTGCAGGAACACCTAGCAGCCAATCATATTTCAGTTTACTGTTGTCAGATCAGTGACAGCTGAAGTCTGATTGGATGCTATCGATTGCGACACGTTGCTCCACACAAAGCAGTGTGTTCTTTGGGGGTCATAAAAGCCACTGAAATTCTGAAAACAGCTTCCAGGGAGACATGCCAGTGAACCAGAAGACCATCCATTACATTACTAATAATATGCTGCATTCAAAAAACCTTAGAAAACACAATTTAAATGATGATGGAACATGAGCAAAAGAATACAAAGAAAAGGGGATAATACCGGACTAACTGGCAACTAGAAGGGTAATTTATACAGGCACAGCTTTGACAACAGAGCAGCAAGCGATGGGTTAAGTCGTACTGAACTGCTGGCTCTTAATATCAGATTAGGGTTAATGTATAGGCTTGTCTTTGTCCACAAGAAGTGAGAATAGCTGACTTCAGCACCCCCTCCTAGACTCTACTCTTGGAATTGTGCAATCCTTGGACTCTTGCAATCTTTTCAATCAAGGCCCCCTGACTGAGCTCAAAGGGGCCCCTCTTGGTTGGCCCCCCTAATCTGTATTGCATCATGGAAAGTCCCTAGCTAAAAAAGACAACAAAATGCCACTTATTTATAAGGAGGCTTAAGATGATATGCAAATCGCTTAGTCCCAGACTGTGCAAAGTTGAAGTCAGCCCTTTCCACAGCCTCGCTGCTTTAGTAAATAAGATTTATTTATTGAGCCGAAAAGCATTACACAGAACACAGTAGCCTCTAGCGACCAGTCACAGATTAGCTTCCACTGGCCCTTTAACACTGACTAGCTGCTTTAGGTGACAGCACTTGGCATATCATTATTTTATCATTAAAGTAGAACTATAGGCAAACTTTTTTTTTCATTTTGGATGGAGTAAGGGAGGGTTATAACCCCTGCCAGATTATTTTTTTGCCATCTGTGTCCCTTTGGGGAGATTTCTCTTCACTTCCTGTCCCATAACCAAAACAGGAAGTGAGAAAATCTTTGCAAATTAAGGGGATTCCTTGGGGACCCCCAGCTCATCAGAACTAATGTCCCCATTGGAAGATTTCCTCTCTATTACTTTTCTGGGGGCAACCCAAATTTGGGATTTGCTTTTACTTTCACTTTCGATGATAATGGTAAATAGGACTAATAGAGAGGATGAATCTCACTAACAGGGGCAGAGGCAGCAATAAAAACTTAACGGGGGTTCTAATCTATCTCCACTCTGTCCAAAACTAAAAAAGAAATTTGTCTTTAAGTAAAAATGACACTGAAAAAAAAAAAATAATCATGTTGCATTTTCCATCTTCTGACCGGCCAATGTAGTTAACCACTTCAATACCGGGCACTTTTACCCCCTTCCTGCCCAGGCCAATTTTCAGCACTTTGAATGACTATTGCGCAGTCAAGCAATGCTGTACCCAAACAAAATTTTTATCATTTCACATTTTTACACAAATAGAGCTTTCTTTTGGTGGTATTTAATTGCCACTGGGTTGTTTTTTTTTTTTGCTAAGTAAACAAAAATAGACCACATTTTGAACCATTTTGAAGAGCAACGTGTTTTTCTTCGTTTCTGTTATAAAAGTTTGCAAATAAATATTTGTTCTTCACAAATTTAGGCCAAAATGTATTCTGCTACATTTCTTTTCTGAAAATAAGCAAAATCAGTGTATATTATTTATCCTGTAGAAATGTTCTAGAGTCCACAAAGTATGGTATATATCTAAAAATTGATCAATTCTTATGTATTGACGGCCTATCTCAATTTGGATACCCAAAAATGCAAGGACAGTACAAATATCCCCCAATTGATGCCTTTTTGGAAAGTAGACAGTCCAAGGTATTTAGTAAGAGGCATGGCGAGTTTTTTGAAGTTGTAATTTTTTTTGTCATAATTTTTTTGAAAATTAGGAAATTAAAAAAAAAAAAATCACAATTTTTCTTTTTACTTTTTACATACTGTCACCAGTGCAGTAAAGTAGTTTTTTATTACTTTATTTTTAAACTCACTGTGACCAGGGCAATATAATGTTACTATAGTAACTTTGTACTACTTTGGGGAATTTTTTTTTACACATTGCTTTTAGCAGTGAATTTACCTTCTATAAACAAGCTTCTATAAACAAGCATGTTATTGAATGAAATCTATTCAGTTTGTTTTGTTGTGATTATCTGTGATTGGCCACAGCTAATCACATGGTACAGATGGGCTGTGATTGGTCCTGTCTGTACCATGTGACCACTTTGACCAATCACAGCTAACAACGCAATTGTAGCAATGAATGGCATGACTTGAAGCAATTCATTGTTTACAGTTGTCATGGATCTGCTGTGATTGGTCACAGCGATCACATGGTACCGGTACACTGATCAATCATCGGTCACAGCTGGTAACAGACCACACCTGCAGCGTGGCCCCATGGTTGTGTGTGATGTCGTTCTGGGAGGACGTCATATGACATCCACCTGGAACGATAAAAGTCCCACCCGGCCCTCAAATTGCTATAGGCCGGGCAGGAAGTGGTTAAACAGCCAGTAAGGAGAACTGCAGCTCCAAGTATCTGTTTATAAACTTCATTGTCTTAGGGCATGTGCACGCACCTATTAGACAGTGGAGGTCATAAGCAAAAGGCACACAACCAATCAGAGTAGCTCTATGCCTTGTGATTGCTGTGATGGCCAATGAGAGCAATCACAAATGCAAACAGTACTGTTGTTTACATCTGAGTGCCTGCCACTTGCACCCACAAAGGTGGAAGAGGAAGAATAACAATCGCAGCCTGCGAAGTTAAAGAACTAGGCTGCAGCAGCAGGTAAAAATTGCCATTCTAGGTGGTTGGGGTGCTACTGATCACCAATGTTGTGGGATTGTTTGGGGCGGTGATGTGTTTTGAACTTATCCATGACATTGCACACAATGCAATTACATCCTCCAGTTAACTTTCTTCCACTAATAATGGGAGACTTGAACTTGGCTTCAGTGTTCACTTTTAAATGCACCTTAACCACCTCAATACCAGCATATTATTTAATTTCCCCAAAATTGTGGCAACAAACAAGATCATGTTGGAGTGTCCAATTCAAAAAAAAGGGGGTGTTTGTACTGTGCTGGCATTTTTTATTTGTCTTATAGTACAAAGTAAGGAAAACATTTTTTTCAACAACTTATTATTATTATTATACGGTATTTATATAGCGCCAACAGTTTGCTCAGCACTTTACAATATAATGGGAGACAATACAGCAACAATACAGTTCAATACAAGAGGGTTAGGAGGGCCCTTGTCCTTGGAGCTTACAATCTAAGAAGGAGGGGCTAGTGGTACAAAAGGTAATAACAGTGGGGGATGGACTGGTAGGAGGAAGAGAAGATTCCATTATTAGCTGAAGGCAGTATAGGCTTCCCTGAAGAGATAGGTTTCCAGAGATCGCCTAAAAGTAAGCAGAGTAGGTGATAGTCTGATAAATTGGGGTAGAGAGTTCCAAAGGATGGGGTAGGCTCTGGAGATGTCCTGGAGATGAGCATGGGAGGTGGAGACAAGGGAGCTAGAGAGTAGGAGGTGTGCAAGGAGCAGAGAGTACGGTTTGGGTGATATTTGGAGACAAGATTGGTGATGTAATTTGGGGCAGAGTTATAAATGGCTTTATATGTTATTAATGTTTTGAATTTTTGTCGTTGGGCAATGGGAACCCAGTGGAGCCTTGGCAGAGAAGGATGGCAGATATGGAACGGTTAGTAAGGTGGATGAGTCTGGCAGCAGCATTCATGATAGATTGAAGAGGGGATAGGCTGCGATGATGTAGGCCAATGAGGAGGGAGTTACAATAGTCAAGGCGAGAGATAACCAGGGAGTGAATGAGTTGCTTAGTAGTTTGAGAGGTTAGGAATGGGCGTATCGGAGGTGAAGTCTACAAGATTTGGACAGTGATTGGATTTGGGGCTGAAAGGACAGATGGGAGTCTAGGATTACACCTAGTACCCTGGCATGAGGGGGGGACTGACTGATGACTGTGTTATTGATCTTGATGGAGAAGTCAAGGGAGGGGGCACGGGCTGGAGGGAATAGTATGAGCTCAGTTTTGGAAAGATTGAGTTTGAGGAAGTGGAGTGACATCCATGCCGATATGTCACTTAGTAGGTTAGTAATGCGAGAGGAGACTGAAGGGGTGAGGTGAGGGGTAGAAAGATAGATTTGTTTGTCATCAGCATAGAGATGGTACTTAAAGCCATGGGAGTTTGTCAAGTGACCAAGGGAGGAGGTGTAGATGGAGAAAAGAAGGGGTCCAAGGACAGAACCTTGAGGGACCCCTAAAGATAAAGGGAGTGAATAGAGGAGACAGAGTTATAGATAACACTAAAGGAGCGCTGTGATAGGTAAGGGGAGAACCAGGAGAGAGCAGAGTCTCGGAGGCCAAGAGAGTGGAGTTTTTTGAGGAGGATGGTCAACAGTATCAAAAGCCGCAGAGAGATCAATTAGTAAGAGTATGGCGTAGTGTCCATTGGTTTTAGCAGTTAGTAAATCATTAGTGAGTTTTAGTAGGAAATTTTTCCTTCATATAGTAAAACAAATTAAAAACCCAGTGGTTCATAAATACCACCAAAATTAAGCTCATTCTGGGTAAAAACATATTTAAAATTCACTTAGGCACAATGTTGCATGACTGAGTAATTGTTCGTCAAACTATCACAGCACTGAAGGGGGTGTAACATGCTGCTATTGAAGTGGTTAAGGAACCACTCAGACATCAGCTATCATTTTCCAGTGCAGGTTTGAAGCTAAAGGCAGCATCCAATTGCTTGCTGTGCCTTCTAGGCATTCTGTTTTAAATGAGCACCTTTTTTTTAGGAGACAAACTGAATAAAGTGTTAGAACTGAAGATTGTAAAGACTGCGACTTTTCACACAGGCGTCTTGTCAGTCTTTTTTTTTGACCTTTGATTACAATTTATCCCTATGGGTGGCCAGATGTAAGCAAATGTGTTTGTTTACCTCCAAGTCCATTTAGGTTCGTCTAAACACAATACATTTGCATCCAGATTTCCTTTGGTATGTGAGAGGCAGTTGGACACACGTTCGTTTACATCCAGCCACCCATAGAGATTACATGGATCCATTTTTCCTGTTACATGATGGAATAAAATCAGAATGGACACAGATGACGTATTGGTGTCTGTTCTGATCTTAGCAGAGGATCACTTAGGGATCCCATTCTGAGACAGAATTGAGGGTGCCATGTGATAAGGATCTAACTATGTGGCTCCCAGCCACCAGTCATATGCTACCTTACTTTTTCTAGTTTGCTCTAGAGACATGAAATAGAGAAGATGATTGCTTGTTTTAGGCAATACAGACATTTTTTTTTAAAGGCAATCTAAATATAGTTATATTACAAATTCCTTTTCACTAAAATAAAAGTCATAAACTGTAGTGAGAGAGCAGCAATAACCAGCAGTGATGAGAAGAATGCAACCTGGCTGGAAAAAGTGACCTCATTGAGGGTAGTGATGTAACTTGTTTCTGCTATATATTGCATCACCTCACTAACTGGCTTATGTATGAACCTTATTCCCTCATGTGGCCTGAAACAACAATTCACAAATTTCCCCCACATGTGTAATGGTATTATGCATGGGGTGGAAGGAGCAGAATTTAACAGAATGGTAGAGCTAAAGCTGGACATTAGAGAACGATGGGACCTGAAGACGCAAACTGTTTTACAATGTCCCCTGTGCCAGTGTGTCCCCTAGATAGGGCTACTCTAGAACAGCCTTTTTCAACCAGGTTGGCTTTAGGTTTATTCAGGGGTGCCTTGGCAAAAAGCTTGAAAATTGTCCAAAAATTGTATACAAGCCAGCAGGTGGATGAAGCCTGCCTTTTAGTTGCACAAAGCTACAGGTTTTCATTGTGCAATATTACAACCTTCCAGCCATTGGAGTCCTAACAACCATTGGTTGATAAGGGGGACATCGGGCATCTACACAGCATCATTGTTTGCCGTTCCTTTACCCTTCTTTGTCAGCCCTGAGGTCACATTACCTGAGCGAGGGAGAGAAATTGAAGGATAAGAGAAACAATGGAATACTAGTCAGTACCAGTGTGCAAAGGTATATTTGCTTTGGGAGAATAAGTCACCCCAAACGTTGGGTGTTCAACATGTGTCGATGTTGCATTATGTAAAACTATACTATGGGGAAGAAGGGCCAGCCAAGTGCAGATAGTCCCCGGTGTCATGGAAAACAGTAGAGATAAGGCAAGGTTTTCTTACCTGTTTTTGTTTATTGCAAATGTTCCTGCTCCATTGACATGGGGGACTTTGGCTATGCACTTTAAGGTGCCATCAGTCCAGATTATTCACGAAACGTGGTGGATACAGATAAACATCTAGACCTATGTGCTGTTTTGGCTCCTGTTCAGCCATAGTCATTAAAATATATGGTTTTACACAGGCCAACCTAAAGATGGGTCCCCTCAGAAGCCTTAGCAACCCTTAGATCCTGCCTTGTTGCTAGGATGCAAAAGCCATTGATTTTCAACTCCTGCAATGCTGGGAGTGAGTATCTAATGGTTTTCACATCCTAGCAACAAGTCAGGATGTAGGGGTTGCTAACTAGGAGATTTTAAGCCAGGCTTCCGAGGGGACCCAAATGGCCTACAGGTAAAACAATAAAAGTAATGAACATTTTACAAAGCTGAACAGATTGTTAATATCTACATGGACCTCTTGGCTGCATGGGCAATTTTCTGGAAAAGGTTAACTTAGCCTTTAAAGTTTTTGTGAAACTTTAAACTTTTGTAAACTTAAAGTAGAACTCCAGGCTTAACCTAACTAGTCTTAATAACACTCCCTCTTCCCTCCCAACACCTATAGTTTATTTTTGTCAATTAACAAAATGATATACAAAAATGAATGAACAGAAGAGAAATCAAAATCAAATCAATATTTGGTGTCACCATTTGTCTTCAAAACAGCATCAATTCTTCTAGGTACACTTGCACACAGTTTTTGAAGAAACAACCAGGTAGGTTGTTCCAAACATCCCAGAGAACGAGCCACAGATGTTCTGTGGATGTAGGCTGCCTCAAATCCTTCTGTCTCTTCATGTAATCCCAGACAGACTCCATGATGTTGAGATCAGGGTTCTGTGGGGGCCAAACCATCACCTCCAGGACTCCTTCTTTTTTTTTTTTTCTTCTTCAGGCTGAAGTTAGGTTCTTAATGATATTGGCTGTATGTTTAGGGATGTTTTCCTGCTGCAGAATAAATTTGAGGCCAGTCACACGCTTCCCTGATGGTATGGCATGATGGATAAGTATCTGCTTAGCTTTAACAGGAAGAGCTTGAACAGGGACCTTCATGGGAGCATTACCAGGTATTATTCTAATGAAAAGAGCGGATTTAAAATATTAAATGTGACATTAAATGTTAAAGCTTGTATGAGAGTTTAGTGATTGGCTTTATATATGCTCTAATTATACTCGCCTCTTCAGCGATGCAACATCCGCCACTGACATCAACATCTTTGTGTGGTATTGTTTGGTACCTTGAGCCATCTTGATTGGCCATGCTGGGATGACATAGCTCTTGTGCATATTTGGGAATTTTTTTATGTTAATTTGTATTTCTATAATGCTTTTCTCCCTGGGGACTGAAAGCATTCCGGAGGTGAGGTAGCCATCTTGGCCACACTCAGTTGAGCCATTTAAACTATCAGCAGGTCTTGGAGTGTGGGAGGAAACTAATGCAAGAACACTGAGAGCATGCAAATTCCATGCAGGTAGTGTCCTGGTTGAAATTTGAACCACAGTTTCTAGTACAACAAGGCGGAAGTGCTAAGTCACTGTGCTCTTTCATCTTGATGGATGCCGAAATAGTACATTCGGCTGTGCATGTATAGCTCAGTATATAGTTTAAGAAGTTTGTGAGCGGGAAGGTAAGAATTCTTTACTGCAGACAAGTAGGAAACTTGTCTGTTTGTACATTTTGAATTTTTTGTTAAAGTATTGGTTGCGAAAGATTCATCATTACATTTTAGTCTTAAGGACACTTTTTGTGACCTTAACTTCGAGTCAGTGCCAAGTTACTTATGGCAATTTTCATATACCTACAGTATATCTTACACCTGAGAGTCACCATTTTCCTCCTACTAGCTTGTTAATAATGGTAACAGTGACCAGGGCCTGTGCTAGACTATTTTGCGCCCTAGGCAAGATCAGCTACTTGCACCCCCCCAAATAAATAAATAAAAAAGAATTAAAAAAAACAGTAGAAAATATTAAATCAACAAAACATGAAACTGCTAAATTTCTTTTATTTTGCAAAAATAAGTGCCATAAGATACTACCTGCACCAATATTAAAGACAAAATCAGTGTCACAGACGGACTGTATTTGTGGCTGGCAGTGGCAGGTGACAGTTGCAGTAAGTGGAGGATGATGGATCCACACTCTGACAGATCCCAGGCTGGAATTCCCCAGGCAATGGGGGGAGATAAACACTGTGACAACAGGCAGCCCAGCCCACACACACAGAGAACATCTGAGCTGAGCAATGCCACATAGTGACAGATCCGACACACCACCACCAACACTGACACAGATCAGCAGGCCTATCGGGCACTAGAAGAGCAGGCTGTGGGATTGTGATGATGTCATCAGTCACTGATATTGCACATGCGATGGATGGCCAGCTGGCCAGGTCACACTCGCACAGACACAAGACACCAGAGTCAGACATTACCTTCCTCCACCTTCCTTCCTCCTACCTTCCTTGCCGCTTCCTCCCGCTGATGAATGGGAAGAGAGGAGATGGAACTCCACAATGATCAGCAGCCGCCAGCTGGCTTGCAGTAAGGGACTGAGTCTGAGAGGAAGACTGGAAGGCGCCGCAACTCGGCTGCTACACTAGCCCCAGACAACCGGCATCTTCCTCTGTCCTTTCTTCTTCCCATCTGCCGCCCCACCCCTCAGCTATAGGATCATTAATGACAACGTGACAACGTCCCACACAGAGAGAATGCTGGCCTGTGCTGTGCTCAGGTGCCCCTAGGTGGCAGTGCGCCCAAGGCAGCTGCCTAGTTTGCCTAGTGAAAGCATGGGCCCTGCGAGTGCCCACCACATCAATACCTTTAAGGTTCTTTCACATGGACTTTCCAACCAAGTCAACCTGTCAGTTTTTCAGGCAGACTTGATTGGAAGCTCCATGTAAGTGTATTGGCCGATGGTTTATGTATACTGTATATACAGATGTGCTTCCATTTATATGTACTTACCTCCAAGCTCATCCAGGTCTGGAAAGAAAACTGGAAAAGGACTGCATCCCTTTACAACTTTTTAGACCTAAACACGACAGATCAGAGGTAGCCTGACTTAAGCGGGTGATTGAACGCAGGTCTAGAAAGGTGTGCTGTCAAAAAAAAACTACAAACGAGTACTGATGTCACAAAAGTGACAAACATCCCATTCTACTCCAACTGAACCAAACATAGCCAGTGAAAAAAGGACTCTAGATGCTTATGGGGTTGATTTACTAAAACTGGGGAGTGAAAATCAGATGCAGCTGTGCATAGCAGCCAATCAGCTTCTAACTTACCACAAGGATAGCACAAAGCTCCTAATTCACTCCCTGGTAATCTCTCAACTTGATTACTGCAACTCCCTCCTCATTGGCTTACCTTTACATAGGCTATACCCCTCCAGTCCATCATGAATACTGCTGTCAGGCTCATCCACCTTACCAACTGTTCAGTGTCTGCTACCCCTCTCTACCAATCCCTCCACTGGCTTCCATTCACCCAACGAATAAAATTCAAAATACTAACAACAACTTACAAAGCCATCCACACCTCTGCCCCCAGCTACATCACCAACCTGGTCTCAAAATATCAACCAAACCACTCTCTTTGATCCTTCCAAGACCTTCTGCTCTCTAGTTCCCGTGTCACCTCCTCCTATGCTCGCCTCCAGGACTTCCCCCGAGCTCCTCCCATCCTATGGAACTCTCTACCCCAACCTCTCCGGCTGTCTCCTAATCTATCCACCTTTAGACGATCCCTGAAAACCTTTCTCTTTAAAGAAGTCTATCCTGCTTCTACCTAGTAAACCACCATTTATTTCCTCCATCAGCTCATCCCCCACAGCTATTACCTTTTGTATCACTCAACTCTTCCTCCTAGATTGTAAGCTCTAAGGAGCAGGGCCCTCTGTTTCCTCTTGTACCAAATTATATTGCAACTGTAATGTCTACCTTCATATTGAAAAGCTCTGCGCAAACTTTTGGCGCTATATAAGTCCTGTATAATAATAAGCTTCCATTAAGCTTTGACAATAAAACCTGGAAGCTGATTGGTTTCTCTGCAGACCTGCACCAGATTTTGCACTCTCCAGCTTTAGTAAATCAACCCCTTATGTGTTTATGGCAATGAAATCTGGTCAAAAATGTTCAGCGATTTTTGCAAATCTCATTTATGTCACCATACTTGAATGAAACATCTTTTTTTTGCCATGTGAACAGCAGCACTGGAAAAATGGAGAACTATTTTGTGCCTCAGGAAAATGCCCATGTGTAAACCAACGCTGGAAATGTTTGTTGGAGTGAGCCCTCCGTCCAAAGGTACACTTGAAAACTATGGTCCAGTCATTGTACACACCGGTACGATAGCAAAGCCTCTACTAATATATTTACTGTGAGGAGCTAGACCAATAAACCACCTCACCGGTGTCACCTCAGAAAGTGGCGTCATAGTGTACACAGTCTCCAGTCACATTTTATGGAAAGTTCCCAGCTTAAAGAATGCAGCCTGACAGGAAGAAGTGACCTCATCGAAGGCACCGGTTTAGCAGACTTCTACAGAATCAACAGACTGTTGCTGGAATGTACGCCTTTTGTGGGGAGATGGCTACATTTTCCTCAGCCAGCTAGGCCTCAACAACTGCTAAATGCAGTGACTGGTCAGCTCCTGGGCCTTAGCGATACTGTAATGGTTAGATAGAATAACGGCAATATGTGAATATTCTTCCCTTATGGAAACGGATGTTTTATTCCAGGAAAAAGGCCGTTTTGGGTGGAGTCTGTACAAAGAGCATGCATATTAGATAAGACCTGAATGGAGTAATGCAAGGGCCAGGGTTGTGAAACCATCTGGGAAGGGTGCCACTTCAGATGAACATGCGTGTTATCTTATTCTTCTTCTTGGCAAGCAGTATGAACCCGACCGCTCATTCATTTTAGAAAACATCATTGCAGCAATGGGCTGAACTTCTTCAGATTGTATAAGATGCTTCCATCCAAAAGCAGACTGTGATCCACTGTGGATTGCTCTTCAGAGGGCAACTCATGTGTTAACAAGCATTTATAGCTTTTTGCTGGAGACAAGTGGCTTCTCTGCTTACTGGAATACTATGACAACTTTTGCCCTGCATACCTTTTCGGTCCATTTGACAACACAAGAATTTTCCTAAAAATTAAAACCCGACTGTTTAGGTCATTTCTACAGGGTGGACGAATCCCTCTCTCTTTCATCCCCCTGCATATCACATTGGAAATTGTGATTCCATTAAATATACCATTGAAAAGCTCTGCTGAAGAGGGTCAGCCTTTGAAACGCATTTGAGGAAACAGCAACAGCGGCTGCATGCTGTCTAACAGGATCACCCCCGGGGATTACTTCTGTGTGTTGAGGGTCAAGCAGGTCTCTTCCCAGATGTTTTTACATGTCATGGTTAGATTGTAAAGAATGTTTGCAAGTATCAGTCTGATGGCCCGTAGAATGCATGAAGGTAAACAACCTTTAGCCTTTACAACCACTTTAATTGGACAAGCTGAAGGTAGAAGCTGATTGGCTACCATGCACAGTTGCACCTGATTCTGAGTGATCTAGTTTTAGTATATCTACCCCTGTATGTTGTCAGACCAGAGTAGGGTTTAGGAGCATTTCTGGCAGAATACCTGGTATTTGGGCTTTAACCACTTGCCAACCGCGCTACAGCCGAATGACGGCTACAGCGCGGTTGTCCAGTCCTGAGAGGGCGTCATATGATGTCCTTCCAGAATGTGCGCACCTGGTGATCTCCATGATTGCTGTGTCACAGCGGCCTTTTACCATTTGATCAGCTGTGCCCAATGACACAGCAGATCACTGGTAAATGCAGTTGCCGGTTATCGGCTGCACTTTCCTCACGCTGTCACAGCATGAGGAAAGTACTGCCGATAACCGGCAATTGTCAGAGGACGGATTGGCACCAATCATCAGGGCACTGATCATCAGTGCCCAGCAGTGCCACCCACTACTGCTACTCACCTGTGCCCAGCAGTGCCACCCACCAGTGCCTGCCATCAATGCCACCCATCAGTGCCCAGCAGTGCCACCAGTCAGTGCCCAGCAGTGCCAGCAGCCAGTGCCGGTAGTCAGTGCTACCCATTATTCCCCTTCAGTGCTGCCCATCAGTGCCACCTATCAGTGCCCATCAATGCCGCCTATCAGTGCCCATCATTGTTGCATATCAGTGGCAGCATCATCAGTGCTAGCTTATCAGTGCTGCCTTTCAATGCCGCCTATCAGTGCTGCCTATCAGTGCCACCTATCAGTGCACATCAGTGCTGCCTATCAGTGCAGCCTCATCAACGCACATCAGTGAAGGAGAAAAATTACCTGTTTGCAAAATTTTATAATAGAAACAAAGAAAACCTTTTTTTATTTCCAATTGTTTGCTTTTTTTTTGTTTATAGCACAAAAAATAAAACACCCAGCAGCGATTAAATATCACCAAAATAAAGCTCTATTTGTGTGAAAAAAATGATAAAAATTTCATATGGTTACAGTGTGGCATGAATGTGTAATTGTCATTCAAAGTGCGACAGCGCTGAAAGATGAAAATTGGCCTGGGCAGGAAGTGGGTGAAAGTGCCCGGTAGGCAAGTGGTTAAGGGATAAAACATGGGCTACTATACATGTGTTGCTGCGGTGTACTGCATACACAGATGTGCTCAGGGTTTGTGTAACACGCCTGCATGTACACTTACATATGCCTAGTACGCATGCAGGTGCTTTAATCAAACCCCGGCGCACAACCGATTACAACCTCCCCTTCCCATTCATCTCAACAGGCAGCTGTACACAGTGGCAATGGGTCCCAGGGGAAGCATTAGGCAGGTTTTGCATGCGGTATGGCCCCTGTACAGCCATGTACATGAACTAAGATATATTGAATGTTCAATGTACAATCCTGTGCTTTCATTGGTAATCACTTGAGGATTATATTTTAATAACATTTATACAGCTGTTGCAGATTAATAAAAAAGTTAATAAGCGTGATTGTGTCACTGAAATCAATTTATTAACATAAACCTGCAGTCAGTTAAAGGCAAAGTCAAAGTAGCAGTGTGATACATGCGACTGGCAGCCACCAACCGGCTCTTTCATTTCTCTCTGATAGTTGATGAAGTGCTTGGTTAGCCTATGATTGGTGATTTGGCCTACCACCACCTCATCGGCAGAAAAAATGTGACGGGAAACCTCGCCGGACACTAGTGAGACACTGGGACAAAGAGCACATGCAAACAGTGGCATCCCAATGTAGGTGCGGGGGGTGCGTCCCGCAGCGGGTGACACCGGACCCGCTCCACGAAAAGGTAAGTTGTAAAGCAAGCTGACGATCCCCATAGGATTGATGGGATCTGCGGATTGGGGAGCATAGTGGATCAGACTCCGATCCATTATGCTCCCCAATCCGCAGATCTGAACCATCCTGCGGGGATTGTCGGCATGCAACCTATATGGGGTGCACTGGACCCGCTCCACAAAAAGGTAAGTTGTAAAGAAAGCCAATGATCCCCGCAGGATGGATCGGATCTGCGGATTGAGCATAATGGATCGGAGTCCGATCTATTATGCTCAATCCGCAGATCTGATCCATTCTGCGGGGATCTTCGGAGGGGGTGTCACCAAGTGTTACCGCACCGGGTGACACCAACCCTAGGGAAGCCTCTGCATGCAAGCATCATAGAGATCTGGCAGCACAATGTCTAAATGGTTAACACTTCTGACTGGCAATACTAGAGTTGCTGGTTTGATTCCCAACCACAGCACCACCTGCCTGGAGTTTGCATGTTCTCCCTGTGCCTTTGTTGGTTTCCTCCAGGTACTCTGGTTTCCTCCCACACTCCAAAAGACATGCTGGTAGGTTAATTTCTTGACGTGGTGGAAACCTTTTCTACTACCAAACTACCACCGCTGAGCCATACTACTGCTGATCTAATAATACTGATAATATTCTTTCATCCCCGACTAGGAGGGTTATGGGCTAGTCATTGTCCCTGAATGGCCTGCATCCTCCCTCCAGGTCACAAGGAATTCCTGGGTCACAGGGGAGACGATGAGACTTCCTCTCACTATCTGGGACAGGAGTACGTTTTTCTGTTAAGCGGAAATGTCAAAAGCAGAAATGAGTCCTAATGTTACATAACTCAATTGTGTACTAAATGCAACTTTCTAAAAGGAAAAATTGCACAATGTAACCCCTATACTCCAAACGGCGTGCAAGGATTGTGTAGCTCACAGACCATCCAATCGGATTGGAGCAATCTTTATCCAGTGTGGACTTTGCTATGTACAGCACTGATGGTTTTTTTTTTAGAAATATAATAAATAGTGAGCAAAACTAGGAGGTTTCAGATAAATGTCTATGTATTAAAACAGCAACTTTCTGTGTATAAGGAGAGCAAAGATCAGACTCCACTCATGTCTGTGTATTAGAAGGAAAGGTCAGTGTATCTTGGTGTTTGTGTATTAGGAGAGGTCGGTGTATCCTGGTGTTTGTGTATTAGGAGAGGTCAGTGTATCCTGATGTCTCTGTATTAGGAGGAGAGGAGATATCAGTGTATGCTGAAATCTGTGTATTAGGGGGAGAGGTCAGTATATCCTAATGTTTGTGTATTAGGAGGAGGGGAGAGGTAACTGTATCATGATGTCTGTGTATTAGGAGGAGGGGAGTGGTCAGTGTATCCTGATGTCTGATTAGGAGGAGGGGAGTGTCTGTGTATCCTGATGTCTGTGTATTAGGAGGAGGGGAGTGGTCAGTGTATCCTGATGTCTGTGTATTAGGAGGAGGGGAGTGGTCAGTGTATCCTGATGTCTGTGTATTAGGAGGAGGGGGAGTGGTCAGTGTATCCTGATGTCTGTGTATTAGGAGGAGGGGAGAGGTCAGTGTATCCTGAAATCTGTGTATTAGGAGGAGGGGAGTGGTCAGTGTATCCTGATGTCTGTGTATTAGGAGGAGGGGGGAGAGGTCAGTGTATCCTGATGTCTGTGTATTAGGAGGAGGGGAGAGGTCAGTGTATCCTGATGTCTGTGTATTAGGAGGAGGGGAGAGGTCAGTGTATCCTGATGTCTGTGTATTAGGAGTAGAGGAGATATCAGTGTATGCTGTCTTTGTATTAGGAGGAGGTGAGTGGTCAGTGTATCCTGATGTCTGTGTATTAGGAGGAGGGGAGTGGTCAGTGTATCCTGAGTGGTCAGTGGTCAGTGTATCCTGATGTCTGTGTATTAGGAGGAGGGGAGTGGTCAGTGTATCCTGATGTCTGTGTATTAGGTGGAGGGGAGTGGTCAGTGTATCCTGATGTCTGTGTATTAGGTGGAGGGGAGTGGTCAGTGTATCCTGAGGAGGAGGAGGTGAGTGGTCAGTGTATCCTGATGTCTGTGTATTAGGAGGAGAGGGGCAGTCAGTGTATTCTGATGTCTGTGTATTAGGAGGAGGGGAGTGGTCAGTGTATCCTGATGTCTGTGTATTAGGAGGAGAGGGGCAGTCAGTGTATTCTGATGTCTGTGTATTAGGAGGAGGGGAGTGGTCAATGTATCCTAATGTCTGTGTATTAGGAGGAGAGGGGCAGTCAGTGTATTCTGATGTCTGTGTATTAGGAGGAGGGGAGTGGTCAGTGTATCCTAATGTCTGTGTATTGGGAGGAGAGGGGCAGTCAGTGTATTCTGATGTCTGTGTATTAGGAGGAGGGGAGAGGTCAGTGTATCCTAATGTCTGTGTATTGGGAGGAGAGGGGCAGTCAGTGTATTCTGATGTCTGTGTATTAGGAGGAGGGGAGAGGTCAGTGTATGCTGATGTCTCAGTATTAGGAGAGGCCAGTATGCCCTGCTGTCTGTACGTTAGGAGAGGCAAGGTCAGTGTACCCTGATATCTGTGTATTAGAGCCCTTTCACACTGGCGATATCGGACAGTGTGATCTGATGTCTGTGTATTAGATTTGATTCATCATAGTGATCTGACATCTGTGTATTAGGATGACAACATTGTATGCTTGTTAATGAAGTATAACATTTTCCTTTTCTAAATCCTCCCATTTGTAACCATTTGTTTTATCTCCCCAACAGCCTGAGTCCGATTCTGCCCGAATCTGGCATCGTCGCTGACATTGACGTTGAGACGGCCCTAGAGCCCAGCAAGGAGCAGTTCTACCAGTTAAAGAGCCAGCCAATCCCTGCCAGGTGAGATAATTGGGGCTTTGTTGGATCCTGACACATGGGACACCCACGCAGGAGGAATACGCAGTGTGGACACAAATGTTGGAGACAGGCAGAGATACAGGGACAGTCAACAGGAAGAGCTGATAAACTTCAGATGAACAGAACAAAAAACTGCAATGCTGACAATTCCTGACATGTCGAGATAACAGGGCCACATACTCAGCAATTCAGAAAACAGAATTTCCTAAATCAGCCATCCAATTCTGCCTGTACAGATACTTTTTCTTTATTAGGAAGCAGTGATGTATTTCCAATGAGTGAACATTTTTAGTTATCTTAGATATTTACTTGTTTGCTGCTCCATATTTCAATGAAGATTCTTCATATTTAGATTTGTAGGTGCTCCATCGTGTATGTCAGACAAGACAGTTAGCTGAGATAAAAACATTTGAAAGAAAAGCCACAAAAAAGATGTTATTGTGTTTAATGAATCATTACAGTTCTCACTTTATCCCCGGATTTGAATAGTGGTAAGAGGAACACTTCTGTAAATGTAGCTGCCCTCCATTGTATATAACTAAAATCTATACATTCATTTTAGGCAGCATTTATCTAATCTTATATTGTTATAAAAAGATAAAGTCCTTGTATATGTAATGTTTTCAGATATTTTTTGTTGTTGGCTGTTGTCCAAGAGGTTAGATCAGGACGAAATTAATAGTGCGATCCATGGCGGTTCTTTGTCTGCTGTGCACATGTGGAATCAATGCTCAGCTCAGATATTCAGGAGGAGGAAATCACTGTGAACTGCAATGCATGATGGGCAAAAGCAGGCCAAAGAAAACATTTACAGTACAATAATGCACCTTTTACTGTATGATGTCATATCACTTTTCTAAAATAACCGTATAGTGTCCAGCATGGTTCTCATCATCCTACAACATACAGACGGATCCAGGAGCACCTCCCTCTGGTTTTGGCTGGTGCTGCAAGTTTTTCTCTATTTGTGATGACAGGTTTCACTTTAAATGTTTGTGACTGTGGAAACCCATGAGCTGCCATTTCTGATCTTTGTCTGAAAAATCCTAGCAGCTTGCTTTTACCACTCCCACCTGTCTGTATGAATAAGTCCTTTCAGTAAATAACATCCTGACGTGGCACAAAATGCAACGACTGTATAATTTCCCACAAAATTTGCACCTGTTATCATTAGAAAGCAATCTTTGAATTCCAGTCCAGTGCTGATGAGGATAATGTCACTAGTCTTCTGCTGCAGCAAGAGGAAGCATTGTCTCCTCTCCCCAGTCATCAAACTGTACGCTGTAACCGCAAGTCACAAGATAAGCTGCAGCAGCAGGGGCTGATCTGTGCAGGCTTTTATGAACATAGCCAAATACTAAACAGGCACCAAAATTCACAGAACTGTATCAGCTGTGAGCCAGCATGGCAGTTCAATGAAGAAACGCTGATTCTGCAAAAGTTTGTGCTGACTCTCTGGTAGAAAAAGCAGAAGGCATGAAGGCATTGCCAAGGGGAGTACTTTGATCCCTGTGAGAGGTAATACACATTTGGAAGTGTTATGCCTACCCATTAGTTAGCATGCATGCACATAACATAAAAATATGGGTCCTTTTATACCCTTGCGGAAATACAGGCTAAGTTCTCTCTGCCAAGGTCAATGCACTTCTATTATATACAACTAAAACATGCAGTGGTGTTACCTACTTGAGTCATATCTTTAATGATGGATCCCTTTATACCTTTGCGGTATTACAAGGTAGGTTCTCTCTGCCAAGAGCAATACCCTTCTATTATATACAAATAAAAATGTGCAGTAACGGCCTAGGGCCCATCAGTGGTGTGGCGTCAATCCCCAACTTCAGTGTTTAATATAATGCCTACTACAACCTTCACTAAGGGCTTTATCTCCCGTTGCTATGCCATGTTACAGGAGGAATTTTTAAAGTCATTTCCCTTAACTACGGGAAGGAGATGGGAGGTAGACCATGGACCTTTTGTGAAAGATCAGTTCGAGGAAGCTCTTCAAGCGGTACCCCAATGCTCCCTTAATGTGGCACAAAGACTTATGCAATTGTATGTACAATTGAGAACTCACTTTACCCAGCCAAGCTATACAAATCTGGCATCTTGGATACCCCCACTTGCAGTAGGTGTTCTAGGGGCCATGGGGACTTGATCCATTTAATTTGGTGATGTCCCAAATTACACATCTACTGGGTAGGGGTAATAAACTCTCTGAATGCTGTGTTTCAAATTTCTGTCCAACTTGACCCTAAATCATGTCTTTTGGGCATTCTAGATGATTTTCAGTTCCTGTGTCTTACTTGAGAATCGGTGGCTAGAGCCCTTTTTCAAGCCAGGAGAGTTATGCTATGGCATTGGAAGTCTGCTGAGCCCCTTTTCCATAAAGAGTAGGTACAATCTCTCAGGTTGGAGAAATACATGTATCAGCATAGGGGATGCTTGGGTAAATAGGAAAATCTTTGGGGCCCATGGTTGGACATCCCAGGCTTGAGCCAGCTCATCCTGGTTATAGACAGGCTTCTCATTAGTTAAGGTGTGTTCCTTTGGATGTGGACCTTAGATGAGCACTTACCTGCTTGGGTTAGCTGTTATGACTATATTTGTGTTGTATGTCCATTGTTTCATTGCAAAATGTATGCCTGATTGAGATGTGTAGTACAAACTTAACATTGTACATGTATCAGATAGTATCTATTATGATTGAGAGGATATCCTGGAATTGCTGTACCAACACTTTTCTGTTCTTTCTAATAAAACATTGCTTGATTTATAAAAATATCCTATGCTAGGTTAACTTTGCAAAATTAGTTTTTTTCAATGGTCTTTATATTTTCCATGCAGTCAGACACCGTTACCCTCCCCTCAGACTCCCCTACAGACCTCCAGTGCCATGTCTTCGCGGGTTCTCCTCCGGCAGCAGCTGATGCGCGCACAGGCCCAGGAGCAAGAACGGAGGGAACAGGAACAGAAGGCCACACAGCTCTTAGCAGAGCGTGGCAATGTCCCACCAGCTACGCCAGCCATCAGTGTGACTCAGCCAACTCGGCCAACTCCAGCGCAGGTGCCGCTGGAGGTACTGAAGGTATAACCTGGTAATAGGCAATTTATGTTGTGTAAAAGATTCCTGTGGCCTCCCTTCATGCTTGCTGTCTTCACACAGGTACAGACTCACCTGGAGAACCCAACAAAGTACCATATCCAGGAGTCACAGAGGCAGCAGGTCAAGCAATACCTCTCCACTACCCTCGGAACCAAAATGCCCATACATGCTTCTGCTCCAAGCACCACCACTCCAGCCCCTGCCGTGTCTGGGGCCTCTCCTCAGACAGAACAGACCCTCCTTCCAACAGCCAGCAGCGCTCCCAACAGCCCCCTGGCCCAGCTCAAAATTGGCTCCAATTCAGAGAAGGAGGTATGTACTAAGAATAGTGCAGGGGCTGTGATGTTTTTGTCTTTCTGGGACACTACTGCAAAGATATTCAACAATGATTGGTTTTAGTTAACCACATTTTCTGTGAAGTCTGCAGAAAACTTTGTCAAAAGATATTAAAGCCTGTCTCTGGGGAATGGAAAAATGCTCCTTTGCAATAGAAAGTCCACCACACTGCAAGAGTTAAATGCTTCTTTAGGTCTAGGGTGTCAGAGAAAGCACCTTTACTTTCTTGATTCCTGCTCCCCTGGCAGCTGTTGCTCTCCTTTTCTCCACTACGCTCTCGCGGGGGACTGTCTTTTGAGGTCCTCATGTCCAATGCAGGGCTATGGTCTGTTCATTGTACTTGATGAAGTTAGAGGGCATGGGACTGTTCAAGCATAAGGAGCAGGGGGTGATGGGTGGCAGTTGCCGCCTGGGCCAGTCTGATGCCACTGTGGGGGGGGCCCCAAGAGGCTGCATCTCTCTCACAGCCCAGAGCCAGCACTAACAGCCCCCCTCTCGCAGAATGGTGAGGAGAGAGAGAGCTGGTTCTACTTTCCTCCTGCCCAGGAGCAAGAAGAGGAAAGGAGCAGTCTGGTGTTCCATCCATCCACTGCTAGTCAAGTCTCCCCCCTCCCTTCCTCCTGCCTCCCAGTGAGTACTCTAAAGGAAAAGGGACACTGAAAAAAGGGTGGCTCTACAGAATTTCTTTTTCTTTCTTTTTTTTTTTTCTTTCTTTCTTTCTTTCTTTCTTTCTTTCTTTCTTTCTTTCTTTCTTTCTTTCTTTTTCTTTCTTTCTTTCTTTTCCTTTCTTCTCTCCACATCTCTTTCTCTCTCTCTCTCTCTCTTCCTCTCTCTCTCTCTCTCCTCCTCTCTCTCTCTCTTTTCCTCTCTCTTTCCTTTTTTTTTCCTTTTCCTTTCCTTTTCCTTTTTTTCACTCTCTTCTAAATATGTTTGTGTTCATTTATTCATAAGGCCGGCCAAAGATGGATTGAAATTTGGTGGTTCAGCAGGAACTGTCTGTGGAAAGGCTGGTTGTACTGAATTCGATCAACGGATCGACTTTCGTACAACCAACCTGTCAGTTTTTTTTCGGTGAGATCGCTGTCAGTGGGGAAACCTCTCACTGTCAGAATATAATAGCACAGCAGGAGGAATTCCCCCATCAAAACTACTTGTGTTGATTATGGAATCAAGTGATTTTCTTTCCTTCTACCTGTGGTGGAAGAAAAGGAAGTTGTAAAATTTATGGGCTGCTCAAGTGTGTATGTATGTACTGTATGTATAAGTACACACGCGCACACACATGTGTGTGTTTGAGCTTCGGGGTACAGAATCTAATACAGTAGGCTGTGCACACCAATGCCTAAAGGTTTCCTTGTGAAGAGGAGTAAAAAGTCCATGCTGCAGCCCCCAGCCTCCCCTTGCCGGCCAGTTCGGGAACCCGGAGTAGTGCAGCAGGAGAACTCCAGCCCGACCTGCTCGCTGCACACTCTGAACTACTCACAGTGTGCATTAGAAACTGAAGCAGTTCATATAGAGCTCACCTCATTTCCTGGCAGGAAGGCATCCTGCATCATCTAGTGCTTTCCTTCTCAGCCTTACTGTCTCTTGCCTGCACCTTTTATTCATTGGGTTTCAGTTCTTTCAGTCATTGAGGCTCAGCGGGTGTTACCTATGACAGTCTGCAAGCAAATGCACCTGCCTATAAACTCCCCCTTCCAGAATGACATCCACCTCAAGTAGGACATTTGATATTTTTCATAACTCTTCTCAAGTGCGAGCCTACTGCTTTAATCAATGCTTGAGTTAAGCCCCGTGGTATGCTGCAACACTTTTCGCCTTTTCCTCCCACCAGCCATGACCTGCCTGCATTGCACAGAGAAGCATAGAAACCTAGTGTTGATGACATTGGGTAGAAAATAATTTACTTTATAAAAACAGTAAAGTTTTGTTTAGAATTTCACTTGCATGTTGATGAAGGGCGAAGATAGGAACCAGGAAAGGAAAAATATAGGCAGATTAAACTTCATCTTTGAGATTTTATTGCTGTCTGTGTCCTTACTGGGGAGATATTTCCTCCTTTCCTATTTTTGTAAAACAAGGGAAAAAAATGTGGGTGTTACTGGGATCAGAAGACACAGGGAGCAATAAAAAATATACAAATGTTCTAATCCTTGCCCACTTTCCCCAAAACTTCAATAAAAGTTTTGGCTGGAGCCGAGAGTTAAAAGAATGACATGGGAGGGTCCGTGAATCATACCTTTCCATTCATGTAGTCTGTTGCATAACATTTGCAAGTGTGTAAAAGTTGAAATACCCAGAATATCAGAGATGATTCTCAGGGCATAGTCAACATATTGTATCTTTCCCAGAATACTTTCTGAAAATATGCTGCAGTTTCCCCGTGAGGCTGTTTTGTTTTTAGAGTTTCCTCGTTCCTGTGCTTGTATCCTGAGGAATGTACACAGTACGGGTTCAATGTATTTCATGTTAAGTCTCTATCGTTTTAAGAGAGTTTTTCTTTTAAAGAGCTACTAGACATAAAGTACAGGTTTTGCAAAGTGTATTGTCAAGTCCAAAAATGTTTTACATTTGGGATTAAGTGGAGAAGGAGAACCCATGTCTGATTTTTATTGATATCTAAAACTCTGTTAGAGAAATTTTCTCAGTGACCAGTGACAACAGTTTTACCTGATTAGAAATGAGGTAAAATCTGCAAAAGGAACACAGAAAGCAATAAAAATCAGCCAGCCTCTACCAACTCTAGGAAGTGTTTTTATATCTGTCTGTGTTGTAGTTGGAGAGTTCCCCTCACTACAGTGCAATCAGGACATCCACCTAACCAAAAGCAGAAAAAAGGTGACGGAGGTTTTAACCCTTCTCCATTCTTTCCCAAAACTTAGAGAAAAAATTGTGGCTGTGTATGCACTATATGTGTGTTAGAATGGGCACAAATGGCACCAGAAACCCTCCTCCACGGGCACTTTGGGAGTAGTAAACCTAATTCATTTCACATTCGATAGGTAATTCTGGTGACTTTAGACTTTCTGGCCAGATGCCCCCAGTACACTTACAGCATCACACCCTTGCAAAAGGACCATATCTTCTCTTCCTTCCTTCCTTCCTTCCTTCCTTTAGCCGCTGACCTAGTCTGTTCCTACCTGTCCCAGCACATGACTCCATAGCATTTTGGGAAAGTAATATTAATCAAGTACTTAAAGCGGTAATAAACCGCCAAAAAAAAAAATCTAAAAAATCTTCTCCCTGCAAGTTAGGAGCATAATGTGCTAGTATATATTGCATACTAGCACATTATGAAAGATTTACCTGAAAAGGAAGCCCTTCAATGAAGTGCTGTCACAGCTCCCCGAGGATTCCATCTTCACCCGGTCTTCGTTCCAGGTTCACAAGCTGCAGCCATCTGATTGGCCGAGCCGCGAGGAGTTTTGGCCGTGGCATGGCTCTCTCTCACTGGACAACACTCCGTCCATTGAGGGCACAGTGCACATTTGCCGGTGTTTATCACCGGTTCTTCTACAGTAACTATCTCCTAAATGGTGCACGTTTAGGAGATATTTTTACAGTACCTACAGGTAAGCTTTATTAAAGGCTTACCTGTAGGTAAAAGATACAAAATTGGATTTTACTTGCACTTTAATTCCACCAGCTTGTCTCACATATTCACTCTGCATCTTTTTAATATGTTTCACCCTTAGGCACACAGGAAAACCAACATACTTCACTCATCAAGGTCTTGCATACTATGACCCCAGGCTTGGTACCTAGGCACGCCCTGTACCATAGCAAGCACCAATATGGAGACCCTGCCGCTAACTGGAGAACATCAAGTACAAAGTACCCCATTGACAGGGCCCACGCTACCTGCCACCTCTTCCACTGCTATTCCTTCTGATTCTTATTACACTCACAGTTGCGCATGATCTCAAGGGTTAGCCAGGTTAAACTTGTTACTGTACATTTCAGGCTCTATAATTCAGAAGGTTAAATGCGGGCTCACTCCAAGTTCCTGATTTTTGTGATACACCATGACTACACATTACTATAATTCATTGATTTCCTCATCCCAGTAAATGACACGGACAACCTCTGCTTAAAGAGTATGTAAACCCAACATTTCATATCCCTGGTATGAGCCTTCTGTACCATGTACAGAAAAAGTATCTTGTTCTCTTTGTATTTCTTTTGTGTGAAATTCCTGGTATTCCTGCCAGTCTTTCTGCTTTCCTATTAAACACTGACTACACTAAGCATGAGAGCACAGTGTAGTCAGTTCTCTAGCTGTGCTGGGAACTCATTGTCCGCTGCTCCGATGATCAGACTTCTGCTGACAGCCCCCCTGCACAGCCATTCTATTTATCCTCCCTCACCTTTGTACAGCTGAGAACAGAGGGTGATGGGAGGGGATGTGATCACTAATAAAACAGGGAACAAAAGGTATTTATAATGTTTTTTACTTATAAACAAACAAACAAACATTTTGCCTTTCATTTCTATTTTAAACTGAATGGGTTCTTTATAAGGTGATGGTTTATATATACTTTAAATGGAACTCAATTACCTGAAAAAGCATTTTTGTTACATTTGAGGTAGTACATCATCACAATGCGGAACATACCCTGTGTATATATACCGTAGCAATGGAAAATGACACATATGCAGCAGAAACCATGTCATAAATTACCTTAACACCTACATGCACCAGTCAAATATTAAAGGTGCACATACAGTAAAATGTTTAACAGCCTTAACCCTCGGTTCACATCTTTGTGAGTGGTGCCGCTGCAGGACCCACACAAATGCCTGCAGCCGCACTACCCACACAGAGGAATGCGGGACCCGCAGGCGGGTGCCATTAATTCCAATGGCACACCACCTGCACTGGAAATCATAACCGTACAGGGAACCTCGGTTCCCATGTGGGCTGCGATTTCCAAAGTAGTGCAGAGACTTCTTCCCTGCATGTACCGGGGCAGGTGAGTCCATTCAAATGAGTCCGGGCAAATTGCGGCCCGCACGACCGCACAGATGTGAACTAGGGCTTACACATAATAAAGCAGGCACCTGTCTATAGGTGTAAATAAAATATGTTTAAATCATCTTTCATAAAATGCTTGCATAAATATGTCAGTATGTAAGAAGGTTATCCGTATGCAATCTATTTAACATAAATGTTAGAAATCTATACTGAGCAAAATCCAAAAAACTTAATTGAAAAAACACAAAAAATAAAGCTTGGATCGGCCCCCTACGGCATCCTGAGTCCCACCCATCACAAGAAGATATAGATAAAAAGGATTTAGGAGGCAGGATGGGGTGTTACCATAATGAAACTTTACAGGAAAAGTCAGGTTGTTCACATAACTTCAGCTACCTATTTTTTTTTAAATCTACCCATTGTTTTAGACATGCAGGTTTGTTTTTCCTTACATTCACCATATGCTTAGTTTGAATTATCCAAGCTTGCGATCCATTTACATTATTATAAAGCAGGGCTCTCCAAACGTTCTAAAGAAAGGGCCAGTTTACTGTTTTTCAGACTTTAGGGAGCCAGGCTAGGGCCAGTGAGAGTACAAAATGTCCTGGAGTCCATTGGGAGTAAACAATGTCCTATCTTTAGTGTCAATGGAAAGAATTCTGCCCAGTCCTTGGTGTCAGCATAAGGAATTGTGCCTTTTTTGTTGGTGTCAATCGAAAGAATAGTGCCCTATTGTTGGTGTCAGTGGGAGAAATAGTGGCCCATCGTTGGTATCAATGGAAGGAATTTTGCTCCATCGTTAGTGTCAATGGAAGGAATTGTGCCCCTATCGTTGTATCAATGGAAGGAATTGTGCCCCTATCGTTGTATCAATGGAAGGAATTGTGACCCATTGTTGGTGTCGATGGAAGGCATTGTGCCCCATCGTTGTGTCAGTGGAAGTAATTGTGCCCCATTGTTGATGTCAATTGAAGGAGGAATTGTGCCCTATCGTTGGTGTCAATGGAAGGCATTGTGCCCCATCATTGGCATTAATGGAAGGAATTGTGCCCCACCATTGGTGTCAGTGGAAAGAATTGTGCCCGATCTTTGGTATCAGTGGGAGGAATTGTGCCCTTTTGATGGTTTTAGTGGGAGGAGTAATGTCCCATTGTTGGTGTCAGCAACAGGAATTATGCCCCATTGTTTGTGTCAGTGGATGGAACAGTACCTCAAGGGCTAGATAAAGGCAACCAAAGGGCCGCACCTGGCCCCCGGGCCGCAGTTTGTAGACCCCTGATATAAAGTATCTCCATACAAAATGTTAACAATTATTACCTGTACAATTCCTTAAGCCTAAAATGGCAGCTCTCATAAAATACCTGCTAACAAATATTTGTATTATTAATTTCCAATGCAAGTGTGGAGCGGTTTGCACTTATTTTTGAATGCGATTTGTAGCTTTTTCACATATGGTAACTTTTGTGTAAATTTACTGGTCCTTAAAGTGAACCTATATTTTTCTCCTTAGACGGTTTTTATTCATCCTTTCAGATTAGTGATGTCATCGATGAGATCATAAGTTTGGAATCCAGCTACAATGATGAAATGATGGGATTTGTGGACAGAGGGAACCTACCTAGCACAGTAAGTGTCTCTTTTACACCTTAACACATGCTTGAAGGAATTCTTCATCTTCATAACTTTATAATCTGCTGAAATTTACAACGGTCCTACAATTTTTTCTTAATTACACTGCGTTCTCTTCTAGCTGTCTTCTGTGCTTTTCAGACATGTCCTGCTGTTCCCCAGATATGTTTGGTTGCTCTCCTGGTGTCACAAAGTGGTCTTGTGACACCTAGACTGCTTCTTCTCACCAATGGTGGGAATGGTTATGCTGTGGCACAGCAAATAAGTAGTAGCTAGTCTTCACTGGGCGGCCTTTACATGCACTTAAATAGTGCTGCGTGACACTCTACCTTAGGGCTCATATGTAGTGACTGTGCTGACTGATGTTTTTCTGTACTAGATAAATGCCAGTCACTGCAAGGGCACATATACAGTTGTGTTCAAAATAATAGCAGTGTGTTGAAAAAAGTGAATAAAGCTCAAAATCCTTCTAATAGCTTTTATTTCCATACACACAAATGCATTGGGAACACTACACCTTCTATTCCAAATCAAAACATGAAGAAAAATATATCAAATTTGTGTTGTTCCTCTAAAAAAATTGAAGAAAAGTGAATATTAGACTGTTCAAAAAAATAGCAGTGTTTGTATTCTTCTTTACAAACTCAAACATTCACTATATAAACTGAAAAATGTTTGAAGATTTTGCTTTCCTTTGAATCACTTAATGAATATTTAGTTGTATAAGCACTGTTTCTGAGAACTGCTGTACATCTGTGTTGCATGGAGTCAACCAACTTCTGGCACCTGTGAACAGGTATTCCAGCCCAGGATGATTGGACTACATTCCACAGTTCTTCTCTATTTCTTGGTTTTGCCTCAGAAACTGCATTTTTGATGTCACCCCACAAATTTTCTATTGGATTAAGATCCGGGGATTGGGCTGGCCACTCCATAACGTCAATCTTGTTGGTCTGGAACCAAGATGTTGCAAGTTTACTGGTGTGTTTGGGGTCGTTGTCTTGTTGGAACACCCATTTCAAGGGCATTTCCTCTTCAGCATAAGACAGCATGACCTCTTCAAGTATTCTGATGTATTCAAACTGATCCATGATCCCTGGTATGCAATAAATAGGCCCAACACCGTAGTATGAGAAACATCACCATATCATGATGCTTGCGCAACCGTGCTTCACTGTCTTCACAGTGTACTGTGGCTTGAATTCAGTGTTTGGGGGTCGTCTGACAAACTGTCTCCAGCCACTAGGCCCAAAAAGAACAATCTTACTTTCATCAGTCCACAAAATGTTGCGCCATTTCTCTTTAGGCCAGTCAATGTGCTCTTTGGCAAATTTAACCTCTTCAGCATGTCTTTTTTTCAACAGTGGGACTTTGCAGGGGCTTCTTGCAGATAGCTTGGCTTCACATAGGCGTCTTTTAATTGTAACAGTACTCACAGGTAACTTTAGACCTTCTTCGATCTTCCTGGAGCTGATTGTTGGCTGAGTCCTTGCCATTTTGGCTATTCTTCTATCCATTCGAATGGTAGTTTTTTCTTTCTTCCATGTATTTCAGGCTTTGGTTGCCATTTTAAAGCATTTAGCTGAGCAGCCTATCATTTTCTGCACTTCTTTATATGTTTTCCCCTCTCAACTTTTTAATCAAGGTATGCTGTTCTTCAACAATGTCTGGAACGACCCATTTTCCTCAGAATTTCAGAGAGAAATGCACTGTAACCAGCATGTACAACATTTGCTGCCTTCCTTCCTTAAATAAGGGCAATAATTGCCACCTGTTTTTCAAAGAATGAATGACCTCACTAATAAAGAACTCCACACTGCTATTATTTTGAACATGCCCCTTTCAATCAGTGATTCAATTACACAGAATCAGCAGCATGCATGTCATGACTGTTGGGTCTGTTGGGTTTCTATTACTCTACTACACCTGCTAGTAAATTATTTGCCATGTAGAAATATCACTTCTACCAAAAACAGTGATTGATCAGGTTAGTGATATCTGACTGCTATTATTTTGAATGCAACTGTAAAACAATTATGCTCCATTAACCCCACAACACTGGTGTGATGCAGACATGCATTTTTCTGCAGCATCAGAGCAAGAGTTATGAAAAGGAAAGCATACCCCAGATGTCAACAAAATAGGTACACTTTATTGAATACAAATATGCATTACGTACATCGCAATTTATAGAAGCCAGTACCTCTCCAGATGTAACACATCAACAGATGGAATGAGAAAAGATACAAGATCCAAGTCAATATGTCAGTGCAGCCTCAGGTCTGAGAACCAGTATTGGTGTGAACAGCCGGCAAAAACTGGCAATAGCAGCACATTCAAGATTTCAGGGAGCACACAGCTGCACAGGCAAAGAGGGAAGCTACGGGTGAGAGGTAGAGCTCGGCTAACAAATATAAACAAGAGTAGGCAAGTGGAGAAATCAGGTGACTTGAGAAAGGGGCTTGATGCCCAGAAGCGCATTGTCTTTTACCCCCTTTTCCCACTATTGTTTACATCTGTTAGTTGAGCTGTACCTAGGCTTCCATAGGCTTTGTTCAAAGGCACACCAGGGAACAGGAAAGTTATGTCAAACACACACAGATTTAAAATTGCAGATCTGGGTACACAGGACAGGAAAAATGATCAAGTTCCAAAGACAGGAATCATAGTTACTGGAACACACACGGGCTAGTACATAGACTATGCACAATCAGGTCACACAATGCACCAGCAGCTAAAGAGGAATCCTTCATTAACTTCTGACTGCTAAGTCAAGGCACAGGAAAGGATAGGATGAAGACTAATGTACCCTGTGAGGACAGTCACAGATATAGACTGACTGAGTACAAAAAGCAGAACTGGAAGAGAACATCACAGAGATCACAAGTTATATCTAGCTCAATGGGTGACTGCTGATATGGGCGGTATGCTGTCCTAATCAGCTGTGTGCAGGAGCCTAAAAACTAACTGAAACCTGACTTTAGAGTAAAACCAGCCATGGATGGCTGGTTTTAAAGCTGTGTTATGGCTTAAGAATATGTGAATAAATTATTGTCCATAGTCTGGGCACAGGTGCACTTTAAACTTTTACATTACTAAACAAGGAAATCTTCTTTGAATGAATTAGATTTTTTATAGGGTGTTACACTAATGAACTTCATGTCTTCCCAGCTTCCAGGATCAGGAAACCTCCTTGATATGTTCTGTGCTGCAGGAATGTCTGCTCCCAGCATCACTGTTAGCAACTCCTGTCCAGCCGACCTACCAAACATTAAGAAAGAATATTTAGGTAGGTTTCTATAGAAGACATTTTACCCCATTTATTGAACTAGAAAGCATAAATAAATGGGTCTTCTGATTACATATTGAATTATTATCCAATGCGCTGGTTCTCTTGCTATAATGGAAAGAAACGTCCTGACCTTTGTTTCCATTTTCCCTACATAGTATTGGGCTTGTAGCACAAGTAATTAGATATTTATTGCTTTTTCTAATCATAGGTCTGTGATGTGTCACAGACTTGTAATAAATCACCAACAAAAATACATTTATGAGTTTAGAATATCTACTGCAGTTGTGAGCGAGCAGAATGGATGAAACATGGTAGGTTAGGGTCCAAGGCTGTAGATAACAATACAAATGTTTCCCTGTTGTACAATTCATATTATATCTTGTTAAGCTGTAGCATTTAGTTATTTTCTAAAATACACTGCTCAAAAAAAGTAAAGGAACACTTTTTAATCAGAGTATAGCATCAAGTCAATTAAACTCCTGGGATATTGATCTGGTCAGTTAAGTAGCAGAGGGAGTTGTTAATCAGTTCCAGCTGCTTTGGTGTTAATTAAATTAACAACAGGTGCACTAGATGGGGCAACAATGGGCAACCCCCAAAACAGGAATGGTTTTACAGGTGGAGGCCACTGACATTTTTTTCCCTACTTATCTTTTCTGACTGTTTTTCACTAGTTTTACATTTGGCTAGGGTCAGTGTCACTACTGGTAGCATGAGGCGATACCTGGACCCTACAGAGGTTGCACAGGCAGTCCATCTCCTTCAGGATGGCACATCAATATGTACCAATGCAAGAAGGTTTGCTGTGTCTCCCAGCACAGTCTCAAGAGCATGGAGGAGATTCCAAGAGACAGGCAGTTCTAAGAGATCTGGATTGGGCCGTAGAAGGTCCTTAACCTATCAGCAGGACTGGAATCTGCTCCTTTGTGCAAGGAGGAACTGGGTGAGCACTGCCAGAGCCCTACAAAATGACCTCCAGCAAACCACTGATGTGAATGTCTGACCAAACAATCAGAAACAAACTTCATGAGGGTGGCCTGAGGGTCCTCTAGTGGGCCCTGTGCTCACTTCCTGGCACCATAGAGCTCGATTGGCATTTGCCATTGAACACCAGAATTGGCAGGTCTGCCACTGGTGCCCTGTGCTTTTCACAGATGAAAGCAGATTCACCCTGAGCACATGTGACAGACGTGAAAGGGTCTGGAGAAGCCGTGGAGAATGTTATACTGCCTGTAACATCATTCAGCATGACCGTTTTGGTGGTGGGTCAATGATGGTCTGGGGAGGCATATCCATGGAGGGACGCACAGAGCTCTACAGGCTAGACAATGGCACCCTGACTGCCATTAGGTATTGGGATGAAATCCTTGGACCCATTGTCAGACCCTATGCTGTTGCACTGGGTCCTGGGTTCCTCCTGGTGCACAAAAATGCCCGGCCTCGTGTGGCAAGAGTATGCAGGCAGTTCCTAAAGGATGAAGGAATTGATACCATTGAATGGCCTCCACGCTCGCCTGACCTAAAATCCAATAGAACACCTCTGGGATATCATCTTTAGGTCCATCCGATGCCGCCAGGTTGCACCTCAGACTGTCCAGGAGCTCAGTGATGCACTGGTCCAGATCTGGGAGGAAATACCCCAGAACACCAACTGTCTTCTCATTAGGAGCATTCCCCGACATTGTCATGCATACAAGCACGTGGGGGCCATACAACTACTGAGTACCATTTTGAGTTTCTGCAATGAAATTTCAGCAAAATGGATTAGCCTGCTGCGTCATTTTTTCATTTTGATTTTTGGGGTGTTTTTGAATTCAGTCCTCTGTAGGTTGATAAATTTCATTTCCATCAAATGATGGGGCATCCTTACGTTAACACATTACCCAGTCCATATCAGTATAGATGTCCAGCATGATATTTTTCCCCATTGAGATCTGATGTGTTTTCAAAGTGTTCCTTTAATTTTTTTTTTGCGCAGTGTAGTCATTCTGACACTTTTGCAATTTTTGAATCAAGATAACATAATATGCATCTTTCAGTACTTGTTCTCATGCTGGCTGACAGTATAGGTTAGGTAGAAACATGGCAGGAGAAGCTTCCACTGCAATGTGAATACTGGGTTTATTTCCTTGTTTAATGTCCGCAATAACACGTTGAAGAGGAGTGACTCAGTTCTGGAGTTAATACCTAAAATTTGTGCGCAAATACGTATCAGAGACATAGGCACTCTTTATATAATTTCTCAAGTGAAATGGTTGTAGATTTCTAAAAATTTAAATGCATTTGCAGCATGGGGCTTTATAAGATGGCAATAATTCATTTAGACTTCCAGATTTTCATATTTCCATTTTCTAATTTCCATCACACAGAACACGATGCGAAAGCAATGATTAAAGAGCGTCAGAAGAAGGACAATCATAACTTAAGTAAGTGATATCAGATTTAAAGCAAACTGGCCTTCACAAAGTGTCCACCAAAAAAGTTCTTACCACTAGCCTGTGGCAGCCCTACTTAGGCACTCTGGCTTCTGGATGTAGAGTATAGACATCTCCCCCCCGAGCTCCCATAATGCAGCTCTTATTCATTGAGTAGCAGTTGTGAGACCTTAGCTTGTCATATTTGCATGTTATTGTGGTTGCAGAGCTGCTGGGGTGGACTGGTGGGGGGCGTACAGAGGCGCTAACAATAAATTGCGATGCAGAAAGTTACCTCATATGCAGTGGGGGAGGAAAATGTCAACACATTTTGGGCCTTAGGTAGCTTTTTGCTATAATGTACAAGTATGCAGAGCATATTTGCACACTATGGCAGACTTACCAAGAAAGATCTTCTCCAGTGCTGCAATGTTAGCGCTTTCTCTGTCGCCAGTGTTTCCATTTCCTCCAGATTTGGAATTTTCAGCTTCTTGACTGACCAGGTGCAGATGACCATGAGCATGGAAGTTACTTTGTCCCAACATAGAATCGTGCCAAGACTGTACACCAGGCTGCACATGCACAGCTCAGTGTACGCTTACAGAAAAAAAGTGCTGATAGACAGGGAGAAATATCTGTGATAGAAGAGACATACAGTCTCTTCTGACATAAAAAAAGCAAGTTCAATTCCACTTTTAGATTAGCCTGGTAAACATAGAAAGTACACCCCAGAGTTCCACCTCTTGGCTGGAAATTGTAAAAATAAAAATTTCACGTGTAATATACTATATTGCAAAACGTATTGGGCCACCCCTCCAAATCATTGGATTCAGGTGTTCCAATCACCTCCATGGCCACAGGTGTATAAAATCAAGCACCTAGGCATGCAGACTGCTTCTACAAACATTTGTGAAAAATAGGTCACTCTCAGGAGCTCAGTGAATTCAAGTGTGGTACCGTGATAGGTTGCCACCTGTGCAATAAGTCCATTAGTGAAATTTCCTTGCTACAAAATATTCCACGGTCAACTGTTAGTGGTATTATAACAAAGTGGAAGCAACTGACCTATTTATCTCCCGCTCCCTCAACCTCCTAGCGGTCACCGAAACCTGGATCCAAGCCACTGACTCTACCTCCCCTGCGGCACTCTCCTATGGAGGTCTCGTCTGGACCCACTCACCCAGACCGAGCGGTCGTAGAGGTGGTGGGGTCGGCATGCTCTTGTCCTCGCTGAGCACCTTCCAGGTCCCCCCCCCCTCTCTATCCTTCTCCTTCTTTGAGGCCCACTGCATCGGGCTATTCTCTCCTACCCCTCTGAGGATTGCAGTAATCTATCGGCCTCCTGGACCCGTATCCCGCTTCCTTGACGATTTCTCTGCCTGGTTACCCTTCTTCTCCTCAGAGCTACCCACTATCATCCTTGGAGACTTCAATATCCCTATCAACGTCAATAACCCGGCTACATCCCAACTCCTCCACCTAACCTCTTCTTTTGCACTCACACAGTGTACACAGTCCTCCACCCACTCTGACAGGAACACCCTGGACCTTGTGTTCTCTCATCTCTGCACCCCCCACAACCTCACAAACATCCCTTTACCTCTCTCTGACCACAACCTCATTACATTCTCAGTCTCCCTGTCCTCAAACACCTCCCCCCAAACGTCAAGCTTTCACCAGCCGTAACCTCCGCAACCTGAGCCCTGCCCCTCTCCACTCCGCGGCTGACCAACTTTACGACAGTATCCTTCCACTGTCCTGCCCTGACCTGGCCACTACTGCTTATAACAACTCGCTGTCAGCTGCCCTAGACTCCTTAGCACCCCTAACCACACGTAGCATTAGACCCCGACCGCTTCAACCCTGGCAGAACGACCACACCAAGAATCTTAAACGACGCAGTCGTGCGCTGGAGCGATTATGGCGCAAAACCAGATGCCAACAAGCATTCACCCTATACAAATCTGCCTTCTTCACCTACACCTCCTCCCGTCCACACTGCCAAACAAGCCTACTTCGTAACCCTCATCAATGCCCTCTCCTCCAGTCCTCGCCGGCTCTTCTCCACTTTTAACTCCCTACTCTCTCCCCCCCCCACCTCCACCTAGTACCTCACTCACGCCCACGAGATAGCTAACCACTTCCAAAACAAGATCAACGCATTCCGTAGGGACATCGCCAATGCTCAGACCTCCACCCTACCTTGCCTCCCTCCCATGATAACCACCTTAACACTCCCCTTCTCTAACCTCACAACTGCCCAGACCCCCACCCCCCAGCTAACATCCTGCACACTAAAACCCCCCCAACACTCCACTCCTTCGACCTTGCTACCACTGAAGAGGTCACTAAGGTCTTCTCCGAAGCCCACCTCACCACCTGCCCCCTTGACCCTGTCCCCACACAAGTCCTATGGTCACCCTCTTTCTCCATCCTACGCTCCATTACCCACATCTTCAATCTCTCCCTCTCTACTGGCGCATTCCCCTCCCCCCTAAAGCACACGCACATCACCCCCATACTCAAAAAAACCCTCCCTGGACCCCACCGACCTGAACAACCTTAGACCCATCTCCCTCCTGCCATTTACATCCAAACTCCTCGAGCGCTTAGTCTATAATCGGCTAAGCTCCCACCTCAACGACAACAACCTCCTTGATCCCCTACAGTCTGGTTTCCATCCCCTACACTCCACCGAAACCGCCCCTTCTCAAACTCACCAATGACCTGCTAACCGCCAAAGCTAATGGCACTGCTCAGTCCTCCTACTCCTTAACCCCTCCGCGGCCTTCGACACAGTTGACCACCCCCTCCTCCTTAAAACTATACTCCCTTGGCATCAGAGACTCCGCTGTCTCCTGGCTCCCTCCTATCTGTCTCAGTGCTCCTTCAGTGTGACCTATAACGCTGCCACCTCCCCCTCTCTCCCCCTCTCTGTTGGGGTCCCCCAAGGCTCTGTCCTCAGGCCCCTTCTCTTCTCCATCTACACCTCCTCCCTTGGCCAACTGATACACTCCCACGGCTTCAACTACCACCTCTATGCCGATGACACGCAAATCTATCTCTCTACCCCTTGCCTCACCCCTTCAGTCTCTGCCCGAATCACCTGCCTACTGAACGACATATCAGACTGGATGTCACTCCACTTCCTCAAATTAAACCTTTTCAAAACCGAGCTCCTAGTTTTCCCTCCAGCCCATGCCCCCCCCCCCCAACCTCTCCATCATGACAAATAACACCACCATCAGTCCCACCCCGCAAGCCAAAGTTCTAGGTGTCACTCTAGACTCCAACCTGTCCTTTCAGCCCCATGTCTAATCACTGGCAAATTCATGCAGGCTCCACCTCCGCAACATCTCCAAAAATACGTTTGTTCCTAACCCCAGACACTACTAAACAACTCATTCACTCCCTTATTATCTCACGACTCGACTACTGCAACTCCCTCCTCACCGGCTTACCTCATTACAGACTCTCCCTGCTTCAGTCTATCCTGAACTCAACGGCCAGACTCATCCACCTTACCAACTGCTCTGTATCCGCCACCCCCCTCTGTCATTCCCTCCACTGGCTTCTGATTGCCCAACGCATAAAATTAAAACTACTAACATTGACGTACAAAGCTATTCATAATACTGCCCCAAACTACCTCACTGACCTGATATCCAAATACCACCCAACACGTACCCTTCGCTCCTCACAAGACCTCCTACTCTCCAGTTCCCTGGTCTCCTCCTACCATGCCCGACTCCAGGACTTCTCCAGGTCCTCCCCCTTCCTCTGGAACTTCTACCCTCCTCACCTTTAGGCACCCTGAAAACCCATCTCTTCAGGGAAGCCTACCCCGCCCTCACCTAACAACCGATCTCCTCCACTCCTCCTACCACTCCATCCCCCACAGCCAATTCCTCCTGTACCACTCTCCCCTCCCTCCTAGATTGTAAGCTCCAAGGAGCAGGGCCCTCAAATCCCTCATGTATTGTATTGTTACTGTATTGTCTCATGTACTGTCCCCCACTGTAATGTACAGTGCTGAGCAAACTTTTTGGCGCTATATAAATACTGTATAATAATAATAATAACTGGGAACAACAGCAACTCAGTCATGAAGTGGTAGGCCACGTAAAATGAGTCAATAGCTAAAGACCGTCAAACTTCGTGTGGCCTTCGGATTAGCACAACAGCAGTTCATGGAATGGGTTTCCATGGCCGAGCAGCTGCATCCAAGCCTTATTTCACCAAGTGGAATGCAAAGCATCATATACAGTGGTGTAAAGCACGCTGCCACTGTACTCTAGAGCAGTGGAGACGTGTTCTCTGGAGTGAAGAATCACTCTTCTCTGTCTAGCAATCCAATGGACATGTCTGGGTTTGACGGTTGGCAGGAGAATGGTACCTGCTTGACTGCACTGTCCCGAGTGTAAAGTTTGGTGGAGGGGGGATTATGGTGTGGGGTTGTTTTTCAGGGGTGGGCTTGGCCCTTTAGTTCCAGTAAAGCGAAATCTTAAGGCGTCAGCATACCAAGACATTGTGGACAATTTCAAGCTCCCAACTTTGTGGGAACAGTTTGGGGATGGCCCCTTCCTGTTGCAACATGACTGACTTAAAGAAATGGATGAGCACGTTTGGGGTAGAGTAACTTGACTGGCCTGCACAGAGTCCTGACCTCAACCTGATAGAATACCTTTGGGATGAATTAGAGCAGAGACTGCATGCCAGGCCTTCTTGTCCGACATCAGTGCCTGACCTCACAAATGTGCTTCTGTAATAATGGTCAAACACTCCCATAGACACACTCCTAAACCTTGTGGACATCCTTCCCAGAAGAGTTGAAACTGTTATAGCTGCAAAGGGTGGGCCAACTCAATATTGAACCCTACGGACTAAGACTGGGATGCCATTAAAGTTCATGTGCGTGTAAAGGCAGCTATCCCAATACTTTTGGCAATATAGTGTATTTCATATTTATCTCATCAACAATTAAAATAGTCTTTTTGAGCCTTTTTTTTGCAGTTCTCAACATAATAAATAAAGTATGCTTCCTTTAAGCTTAAAACACCAGCATTCCGGTTGCTTCGTGCTGTCTCTTTGCACTGGTAAACATCAGTTCACCTTGTGAGAACTGGATAAGAGAGCAATCAAACTGGGAGACAATAGAGCATTGTGTTTTGAAGCTTGATGGTTGCAGTGTGGCTGTGCTGAACATGTGCGGGCAGACTGTGGCCCCTAGGCTTGCAGCTGCCTTCTTTAAGCCACAGGAATGCTGACAGAGCAAGTCAGGCCAGTCTGGGTGTTGCTTGTGCTTGGAAACTTGTGTGTTTTTAGTTACTTCACCAGAAAAACAGTTTTAACATGCTCCAACACATACATCAATGGGGAAGCAAGAGATAAAGAGGACTGAAAAAGTCAGTAACATACACAGATATGTATGTGTACAGAAAACTACATATTCAACATTTTATCTAACGCTGCTGTGCAACCTATTTTTCTTTGTTAGATATAATTTAAAGTCAACCCATACTGTGTTGAATACAGTATGCAAACAGGCATTGCTGCCTTTATTCTGGAAATGCTAGCCTCTCAGTCAGTGGCCTGCACCACGAATGCAAATAGCGAAGTACTTGCAACACAATTAATTAATATCTGCATCTACTTGTTTTGGTGGAACCAGATGATAGAAATGACAGCCAGGCAATTAGTATATTCAATAGAGGTTGGTAATAGTAGCTTACATAATTTCCTTTAAAGCATATCTAAAGCCAATACTTTTTTAGTTTTGCAACCAGCAAGAAATAGTTAAAACCTCTGTCAGGTTTTCTTTCTTTTTGCCGCTGTGGGGAGCTAGGATGACCTATTTGGAATATTTCCCCTTACCTCCTGTTCTAGTGACAATAGTAAAATGATGGATTTAGGGCTCATGTACACGGGGCATTTGGAAAACTCTTCTGAACGATGGAAACTGACTGCTGGAAAACGTAGCTTAAAAAACGTCAGTTTAGCCGCGTTTGCGAACCATGTTTATGCGCGTTTAGCAGCGTTTATGCACATTTGCGTTCAAAAGAGTTTTTAAAAGATAACATCAGAAGACCCTCCCAAATGCCCAGAATGCACTGAAATGCACTGAAAAATAGTAAATAATTAACTATTTCAGACATTTTGAGAGAAATAGGGAGAGCAGTATGTGTTGAGATTACCTGTCTTTTCTGGTTGTATTCACTATGGATCCCATCATGAGCACCTATCCTTCCAGCCCCAAGTCCAATCACTAACAAACTCATGCAGACTCCACCTCCGCAACATCGCCAGAATCCGCACGTTCCTAATCCCAAAAACCACTAAACAGCTCATCCACTCCCTCATCATATCACTACTCAATTACTGCAACTCCCTCCTCACTGGCCTGCCTCGCCACAGGCTATCCCCGCTTCAGTCGATCCTGAACACGATTGCACAACGGATCAAATTCAAAATCCTAACATTGACGTACAAAGCTGTCCATCATACTTCCCCAAACTACATCACTGACCTAATATCCAAGTACCACCCAACACGCACACTCCGCTCCTCTCAAGACCTCCTTCTCTCTAGTTCCCTGGTCTCCTCCTCTCATGCTCGCCTCCAGGATTTCTCCAGGACATCACCTATCCTCTGGGACTCCCTACCCCAATCCATCTGACTATCACCTACTCTCCTCTCATTTAGGCGCACCCTGAAAACCCACCTCTTCAGGGAAGCCTACCCCACCCCCTGCTAATTGCCGACCTCCTCCACTCTTCCTACCACTCCATTCCCCACAGCTATCTCCTCCTGTACCACTATCCCCTCCCTCCTATATTGTAAGCTCGAAAGAGCAGGGCCCTTGAACCCCTCATGTATCACATTGTATTGTTTTAGTACTGTCGCATGTTCTGTCTCCCTTTGTAATGTACAGCGCTAAGCGAACTGTTGTCGCTTTATAAATACTGTATAATAATAATGAGCATAATGTAGCACGTTCTACCATTTTTTCCTGCACACGAATCCTGGAACTGACTGCGCTGGTGTACTAGGCCCATTTGAATACATGGAAGACGCTTCGCATGCATTTCTGATGATGAAAAAAGGCTCTGGACAGCATCTGGTTAAGGAACAGTTAAAAAACGCTTCTAAACGCAAAGCTTATAAACACGGTTAACACGCATTTACAAGCGTTTAGCGTTTGAAACGCCTGTAAAATCTACTCCTGAACGCAAGTTTGTTGCGTTCAAAAAAACGACTGTTAACTCAACTGCCTATAAACGACTGTAAACGACTATGTGTACATGGACACATAGGAAAACATTAGGGAGAGTTCAGGGGCTGCTGAAAAAATGCTGAATAGCTCCTGAATGTAAGTTTAGCAGCTGCAGTGTACATGAGCCCTTACTGTCACTTTCTGTTCTGATAGCAATGGTAATCGGGGAAAACAGAGTTGAATCTAGCCAGCCGTGACACAGACGTCCATAAAAATCTGACCCTTGCCTATTCCATTTAAAACTTAAAAAAAAATTTGCTTTTAGCTATACGTTATATACAAAGAAGCTAAGGCTGTGTCAAGTAGCATTGAGACACTTCCTCCCACCACCCCGCAGAAAAATAACAGAAGTCCCAGAAAAAGTGGTTTCATTCTTCAACAGCTATACAGAATGGGGAATCTTGTAGAATAAAGAAATGAGGCAATTATGTGATTTAGTAGCTTTTTAGTAGCCCATAGCAACCAAGTCAACTTTCATTATCCTGCTGAATTATTACTGCAGGAATCTGATGTGACTGGTTGCCATATGTTAATGTACTCTATTGGTTTTTTTTTTGGTACAGCAGACATCTGACCCTATTTGTTTTTCTGCAGTTGAACGCCGGCGAAGATTTAATATCAATGACAGGATTAAAGAGCTTGGGACCCTCATCCCAAAATCCAGTGACCCGTAAGTGTGATCGATCGCCAACAGTCTCTGATTACCAGATCTTTGATTTAAGAGCAGTTCTGTAGCAATAGGGGTCATGGGGGTTATCTGATCTCTCCAACGGCCTGTCATATCAGCTCATGAATTCTGCAGTTTAGGGGGCATGTCAACCATATTTTTTGGCAAAAAACTGTAAAAAAAGATATTCTCAAAATAACTAAAAGTCTGTGTCAATGGCATCAGTTTGACATGCTTCTGAGATCATTCCAAATTATTTGACATTTGTGGTTGACCTGCTTCAGACCAACATTTGTCCTGCTTCAAGTAGATTTTGCATTTCAGTAGACTTGCATTCCCTTTTGATGGTATCAAAAGCCCATCACCACAGGCCCTTAAAGACCAAAAATGTTGAACGTTTGATACCAGCATACTGCAACATATAGCACATGAATAAACAATCAAAAAGTGGTCAAGTAGTGCATAACTCTTATACGTGAAAAAAATAAAAACTGAATAAAAAAAAAAAGGAAATGAGATTGAGTGTATAGTCCCCCTCAAAAATTGGCCTTTTTTTGGGGACTATACACTCAATCTCATTTCTTTTTCATTTATATTTTAATTTCAATTTTTTTTTCACGTATAAGAGTTATGCGTTACTTGATCACTTTTTGAGTGTTATTCATGTGCTATATTCAATATTTTTAAAGTGGCAGCATTTAGTTTATATATTTATGTGTGTACACACGTGTATTTATTTGTTTATTAGTGGTATACATCACATTTCTTGCATTTAGCGCAGTTTTTTCACTATTTATTAATACTGCAACTACTTTTATAATGGAGAGCTGATATCTCTATTCACACTTCATTACATATGCCACAGTATTTCCCGTACCAAAGTCTATATTTTGCGGCTTATTCGTAAACTGCAGGCTGCAATATTGAGCCTGCAATACTTCACAGAGTTCTATCTGCTTAAAGCAGCAGAAAGAATTCTGTGCATAGTGGAAAATCACTCATTTGGCCTTTTTGTTTGTATGACACTCTCATTAATTTTTCTTGTGCTTTGCTGGCTTTAGACTCTTGAATCGAGAAGAGCGCAATGCACATTTGTAAAACATCTCTGTGGTGTATAAATGTGTGAAGGCTCTTGTTATGTATTTTGAATCAGCGGTTTGTATACTTCTGCTTTTAATGTTGCTCTTAGGACACAAACCCTTATGAACATATTAGTTATCCATATAACATTTGGAGGTTAAAAGTCTTACATATTGCTTTCAGAAAATATTTAATCTAAAAATACATCTAAAGCCAAAACGTTTCGTTTTTTTTCAATAGATTGGGGTATGCTTAAAGCCCCTTTTGGTTTTTCTCTGCCTTTGTCCTGCTGGGGAGATTTCACTTCACTTTCTGTCTGAGATGTAACAGGAAGTTATATGAAATCTCCTGTAAGACATTGTCATCTGAGCTGCAGTGGAAGATTGAACTATTCTTCTTTTTGCAGTGAAAGCTGTAAAATTTTGGATTTCCCATTACATCGTTTCCTGGCTGCAATGGTCACCAGGACAAATAGAGAGGGTGAATCTTGCCATCAGGAACATAGACAGAAATATATACTGACACTGGTTATATCCTTCCTTGACTGTTTTGACTATAGATATAGTTTAAAAGAGAAGTATGGGAAACTTTTTCTTTTGGATTACAGGAGTACATTTACTTTTGTTCTCTTGTGACCCAGAGTCAGCTGATAATGGGCTATTGTCACGTACCTGATGGGAGACTGAATTGACAAGGTTGGCTTCACTTGTGTCACTAGCCCTGAGCCCGCTGAAGTTGGCACAGAGGGAGTCTAGGGACCAGGGGGACAAGAGCGCCAGAGGTTTGCTTGCGGCTTTTGCAGATAATGACCTGGTAGGCAGGATATCCTCTGGTTTGGGTACTGTAGCAATAGACCAGGCAGGTACAGTGGATTGCCAGATGCACAGCAGAGCCAGGTTTGTAGCCAGGACACAGGACTGGCGCGGAGTCGTAGGACAGCCAGGGTCATAACAGTCGGGCGGTACAGGATCAGGAGGAAAAGCCAAAGTCAGGATCAGAGCCAAAGTCAGGAATCGGGGGCAGGAGAGTACTCAGAGTCGGGTCAGGAACAAGCCGGGTCAGCACCAAAGGAATCGCACAGGAACAAGCAGGACACAGGGGGGAGCTGAAGACCAGTCAGCACTGAATCTGGGCAGAGGCGCACCTTAAATAGCCCAATCTTTGCTGTGCGTGTGCACGTGTGAGTGCATGTGCGCGATTGCGCATTCCTGCGCACCTGCGCACGACCGGCAATTCTTCTGCGGGATCTCTTTCGCGCATGCCGATCGCGATTCTCCTTGCAGAAATTCTCTTACAGCTATTGCCCACTATCAGCTGACGGAGCAGAGCTGAGCAAGTATGGAAAGGAGCTTGACAATATTGTCAGGATCCACCCATCTGCCTGATTAACAGCTGTCTCTGCTTCCAGCATGCAGCTGTGAGGCAGAGCCAGCTGCAACCACTCCTCCCCGTCCTGGTGCTCCAGTGAACACTGGAGATGCAAAACAAGAGGCAGTGGCTGAACGATCTCAGTCTCAGAGCTGGTGTGGGACAGCTGCAGTGTGATAGAGATGCTGTAGCATGGAGGTGAGTATGTATGTTTATTTTGTATGTACCCCATACTTCTCCTTTAATGAATTCTGAAGTTGACTGTGAACAGTGAAGGGGATATAGGATTTAAATCACACAGGATACAGCTTCTCATGGCATTGCACACCATAGCTCAGCTCCATCCTGTGTTTACAGATTTAATGTCAGTTTTTCCTCTTGGTTCTAACTTCCTCATTATCTTTTCCCAGTCTTTATGTACGTTGCATATTTTCTGTTTCCAGGGAGCTGCGCTGGAATAAGGGCACCATCTTAAAGGCATCTGTTGAGTACATCAGGAAGCTGCAGAAGGACCAGCAGCGAGTACGCGACCTAGAAGGACGCCAACGCAAACTAGAGCATGTGAATCAGAGCTTGCTTCTGCGTGTACAGGTACTGTGCACTGCATGCAGGGTTAGAGGAGTTATTTATAGTGGCAAGGCAGTATTTTTAGTATAATGTGGTAACGAGGCAGTAAAATGCTATTGAAAGCATTCAGTAGTGCTTGTATAGCTCCAAAAAGTCCCTCATCTGAAGAAACCAACCCTCTTCAAGAATCAAATACTTCTTTATCTTCAATGTGCTTGGTGTAGAGCTCTGTATAAATAAATGTACTATTTTACTGCCTGAGTTGTATATATTGCACTAAACCTTTCATCCATCTTTCAGGCTATCATGTTGATTATTTGCTATTATAAAGGAAAAGCTTCAGTGGGTTTAAGATATCATTGTTTAGTTTTAATTCCACATGATCCATGTGGTCAGGGTGTGGCAGGACGTGTGTAAATCTTGGCATACGGTGTTCAAATTTCAGTCAATATTTGCTGGCTCAGCCAAAATTCAAGCAGTGTATGGCCCTGTCAGCCATGCTCAATCAATTACTCAATCAACTTTTTTTAAGGAGCCTGTTGGGAAAATTGCCAGCCGAACAGTGCCTGCATCCAATTATCTACTGGCTAAAACCTTTTTCAATGTTAAAACCTTTAGTTTTTTATTTAATTTTGGAAAGAACATAGAAGAGATAGAGCCTCAATCAGGTTGTTGTTTAGAGTCTTTACCCATGATTGGGACAGAAAGTGCTGAGAATTCTTTCCAGCAAGGACACAGAATACACCAAAGCACTATTTTTTAGTGGACCAGTAAAGGGTTAGAATATCTTGTCTATATTCCCACCGCACACTCTCCTGGATAACAAGGCTCATCAGTAATGGGTGCTGTAATGACCACCAGTTGGATACATTCGTCAGCACACCATGGATCTTCAAATGTAGTCCAACGCTTTTATTTCAGAAAGATCACATAACTAAACAACAAGTGCAATATTTTGGAGCCGCGTAGGACCCCTCACATGCCTGACGTAGGGGTCCTACGCGGCTCCAAAACATTGCACTGGTTCTTTTGTGATGTGATCTTTCTGCAATAAAAGCTTTAGACTACATTTGAAGATACATGTTTTGCTGGCAAATATATGCAATGATGGCTTAGAATTTCAGGTTGTTATTACTGCATGTGTCTTTCTAAGTGACTCTTGTTCCATTAATTTCCTATTCAGTTGCCACAGGCACAGGAAGTGAGGAACATTCTCTACCACCATGTCATGAACTGCAATTGAAACTAGTTAGAGGCGTTTACTAGTTAGAGGCCAGGCCTATCCAAAAACATTTGACTGGAGTTGAGATTTAATTATTTATGCTTGTTAAAAAAGATTCCTTCAAAATTACTGCATAAATATAAGCTGGGTCAATATAAATAGTTAGCTCTAGTAAATTTCTCAAGGCATAAGAATATAGGAAGGGTTCTTTATGGTAAAAACAGTTAACCTATGAAATATCTTAGTGCATGAAGTAGTGTTTGCAGATTCAATGTTGAAGTAGAAAATGGTCTAGATGCTTTGTAGCTATTTACTAAATGATAGTTTGGCACTGATCGACATCTGTAGGTCCGGAAAGGGTCTTTGGCCCAAACTGGTTTTGTTTTGCTTTTCCCTGAGATATTAAATGCTGTGGTTGATGAGAACTTGAACATGATGGACTGGTACCTTTTTACAATCTATCTAAGTAGAGTACTAGGTGTAATCCTAGACTCCCATCTGTCCTTTCAGCCCCAAATCCAATCGCTGTCCAAATCATGTAGACTTCACCTCCACAACATCTCCAAGATATGCCCGTTCTTAACCTCTGAAACTACTAAGCAACTTATTCACTCCCTTGTTATCTCTCGTCTTTACTATTGTAACTCCCTCCTCATTGGTCTAACTCATCGCAGGCTATCCCCTCTTCAGTCTATCATGAATGCTGCTGCCAGACTCATCCACCTTACTAACCGTTCCATATCTGCCATCCCTCTCTGCCAATCCCTCCACTGGCTTCCCATTGCCTAATGGATAAGATTCAAAAGATTTACAATAACATATAAATGAAGGAAATCCTCCTGCACCTAAAAGGAAGTGATAACTGTAACATATAAAGCCATTTATAACTCTGCCCCAGATTACATCATCAATCTTGTCTCCAAATATCAGCCAAACCGTACTCTCCGCTCCTCGCACAACCTCCTGCTCTCTAGCTCCCTTGTCTCCTCCTCCCATGCTTGTCTCTAGGACTTCTCCAGAGCTTCCCCCCCATCCTCTGGAACTCTCTACCCCAATTTATCAGACTGTCGCCTACACTGCTCACTTTTAAGAGATCTCTGAAAACCTATCTCTTCAGGGAAGCCTATCCTGGCCTTGGCTAATAATGGAATCTTCTACTCCTCCTGCCAGTCCATCCCCCACAGTTACTACCTTTTTGTACCACTAGCCCCTCTCTCTTAGATTGTAAACTCCAAGGAGCAGGGCCCTCCTAACCCTCTTGTATTGAACTTTATTGTTGCTGTATTGTCTCCCGTTATATTGTAAAGCACTGAGCAAACTGTTGGCGCTATATAAATCCTGTATAATAATATATATTATTAATAATAATAATAATAATAATAATAATAATAATAATGCTTTATACTTTTTTTGCAGGAATTGGAGATGCAGGCTCAGCTACATGGATTTTCAGGCAATCAACCAGCTGTGATCCCCACAGATGTTCTTAAAACAGAGACTTCATCTGGAGTTGTGTCTGCCTTTGAGGGTCTGGTCACCCAACAGCAACATATGGACCCCTCCACCCTAGATCTTGGAACACTGCACTTCTCAGATCACCTGAGTGACTTAGTTGATCATGGCCTGAGTTTTGATTTGAGTTTGACTGGAGATTCGGCCATTGCAGATATACTTATGGACGATGCTCTGTCGCCATTGGGAGGAGCTGACCCCCTCCTCTCTTCTGTCTCTCCAGGAGCCTCCAAGACCAGCAGTCGTCACAGTAGCTTTAGTATGGAAGAAGATTCTTGATTAGGCAAATTGTGACCACAACCAATGGACTGCTGCAGCATCCTCCGTTTAAGACTGTACCAACTGAAGCCAATTCCCTCACAAGAGAGACATATTCATGGTTCCCAGCTGACTAGAGCTGAACTTTGGTCACACAACTGAGTGCCTGTTTTCACCCCAAATCACCCCTAAATGGGCAATGCTTGTTTTGCAGGGCCCTTGACTGTTAAGTAGGGTGGAGGGACAAATAGAAACTGCTTATAGAGAAACCATTAACAGATACTTAGAGAATACCTATTCTTATACTGTAACTTTGATACTTAGAAAGCCAGTTTATATTGAACCCCCAGGCCAGTGATCGGACTACTGTGAAGTGTGACTGAGGTTGGAGTGTGAGATTCAGTATAGAGTTGGGTAATGAGCATTGGCTGAAGTTAAGTCTATCAATAGACATAATTAGTGTCCTGTGGTCAGCAGCAGGTGAGATAAGCAAAATGGTGTATCTAGTGAGAGTGTGAAGTTCACAAGATGGTGCCAGATAGTGAAATATCAATGACTCTTAAAGCAGAACTAAACCCATCAATTTAACTGTTTCCCAAAACAGCTACATTCATGGTATGCCATGAATGATAACTGTCACATTAGCTTTTGCTGTCAACCAAACTCTCAAGCCATCAAATGACTGGTGTTTATAACTGATCACATGTGCTGAGCAATTGCAACTGCAGTTCAAACAGAGGCTAAAATGGCAGCTTCCTTGGCTGTAAAGGCTAGGAGGGTTTAATTCCACTTTAAGAAACAGAGACAAAGAACAAGATGGATGTATATCATAGCATGGGATACTAGGAAAGATGCTATTATGTAGCTAACTAAGACCTAGACTGTTGAGTGAACAAAATGCATGCTACACAAGATGGAGTCTGACAGAAAGCAGTAAAATGTGCTAAGTAAAATAGTGTCTGGTAGTAAGTAGTAGGTGGTGTTTGCAAGGTGGGTCCAGCATGAATGAGAAAGACAACACAGATGATAGTATCTAGTGAAGACAATCATCACGATACCCCATGATAAGTAAAGGTGCAGTAGACAACACGGTGTCCAGTAGTTGCAAGAGAAGATAACAAGGCAAGTTACAAGTGAGTGTGATATACAAAACAGTGACCAAATAAAACTCAGAATGTCACCTAGTGGAGAGGTAACAAATTGGGTAGATACTGTACATAAGAGAAAGATACAGTCTATTAGATAGGTGTTATTTATTATACGGTTTGCAGAGAGCTGAAAAGTATAGCACAACATATCTTTAGGCCAAGATGGTTCCAGAGAAGCACAGATGACGTGAATAATAACTTTTTGATTACTTTGTAAAAATGTTTTTTGCTGAAAATCATACCTCTTCCACAACAAAAGCATGAAATCTCTCTCCATGCCAGGATAAAGTTAGGATTGTTGGCCTCCTATTAGGCAGAGAGTAAAGTCAAGTGCATAGGCCAAGAAAAAAGTTCCACCATTCCATCCTCTGGGATTTGGGGTCACTGTGGTAACGGACACCATTTCCTAAAGATAAGGAATGGGTTTCCTCCCTTGGGTGACAGGGTAAGTTTTTTGTTTTTTTTATACAGAGGCAAATCTTTCGTCGGCTGTGGCAAAAAATCCACAATGATTACAAGGGTGGCTATATGTTAGCAGGACTTGTTTTCTCTGGTTGCCGATTTCTGGAAAATGCAGATTTTCAAATAGTATTTAAAATCTCTGGAGCTGACAAAGTTTTGTCACAATCTGAATTCTGGGAGATATAGAAAAAAATGCATCTCAGACATTTATAAAACTCACACAAACTAAAAATGTATTTGGTCAATATAGTTATTCAGAACTGTGCCATTATTTTATTTCTAAAGTGCATTTTATTGGTTACTATTTTTCAGGTATATAATCAATAACATCATGCAATTTTAGTAAAGGTTGAACTTATTAGCCTGGTTTTCCAGCTGTCTGCTCATCATGTATACTACATGGTATTGATGATAAGCACTTTTGAGCATCCAGCAATTTAAGTACCAAGAACAAGTCATTTTATTTTTTTAAATAGTTAAATAACTCCAACAATTTTTTTTTAGCTTTTTTAGAGTTAGAATACCTGTTACGTTTTTATTGCTGTCTGAAGTATTGTTGGGAAGATTTCCTTTATCTCCCTGCCCCATGGACATTTTCCAGGCAGGAAGTGATGTAATATATGCAAAGGGGACAGACCAACAAAAAGCTGACTGGGGTCTACTCTAAAGTGCCCTCCTTTAGTAAATATTTTTTATTGCTGTGTCCTTGTTGGACATTTTCTATCACTTCCTGTCCAAGAATTTTTGCCATACCATAAAGGAACAATTGCAATATGATGTGAGTTTTATAAATGTCTCCATTAGGAGACTGTAGCTCCTATTTCACAGAGTGGTTGGCATGTGCCAATGCTTTGGGTTACACAAGTACAGCACTTATGTTGCTAAATGTAAAAGGAGTGTGGGTGTGAGTGTGTATGTAAGGTAGTGAAAGGTGAAGCACGGAGAGGGTACAACAGATTGAGATTTGTTATCTGCCTATAGCAATCAGATTCTGGCTTTCTCTCTTGCAGGGCAAGAAAATCAGGATAAAAAGAAGCAATCTAAATAGTAATATTGTCTGCATGTTTCAGGAAATAGCTGCATCATTAGGAAATAGATGCATCATTCCTGTGATGAAGAACGTGAACAGTAACAGCAGGGTGTGTCTTAGCAACGCCCTAGCAACAAGTCTGGATAAGGAGATGTTATCTCTGGCAGTTTTTCAGTCAGGCTTCACAAGTTATGCAAATGGCCTACACCTATAGCTAGGGCATTTTTCAACTTTAGTTGCATAGACAGTTTTTTGTTAGAAGTAAAACTATGCCTCTGAATGTACCTGCGGGTTTGCTTTAAATTTGTAATATAATTCCTAAAAAAAAATCACCACCAATTGCTTTTGGAGGTTGCAAGCAGCTGCATGTGATCACTAATTGTTAAAAAGAAGGGCTTCTTACCATTCATAGTTAAAGTGGACCTAGCATCAGTGATATATTTTTTTCATGATGAGTAAAAGTAATGGATATGTAAAACACTTAGAGCCCATTCTCACCAGTCAGGTCATTTGAGGTGCATTGATGCATACTGTGTTGCATGTTAATGTATGTTGCATTAAAGCAGCCCATTCATTTGAATAGACTGTCAAATGCACCATAACAGACCTGTAGGTGCATTGGAGTACTACTCACGATGACTAGCACTCCAGTGCACTATCACATGTAATGGGATATTTTTTCATCTTTCACAGAGATCAGATAACTCCCTTAAAAATACTTTTTCGTGCTTTTCTCTCCAGAAGTTCAGAGCCATCCTTGTTCAGGCATCATCCAGGCAGCATCTTCCTGGACTGATATGCTGTTTTAGAGATAACATGATCATGTAAATCCTGTGGCCGCTGCAGCTCTTGGTTGTGTTCAAAATGTCCAAGTCAGACCAACTCCTTCTGCAACCTCACACCCTTTGACATGGGGAAGAAGAGACTGAGGAAATGCTTCCTCCTACTTGTAACAGGCTGATGACAACATCAGAATGTAGGCAAAGTCTCTAGACTGGAGCTCAAGGAATACTTCTAAGAGGTTTGGCATTTCTGAAAAAACTGATAATGTTCCTCTATAGCAGGGGTCTCTAAACTTTCTAAGCAAAGGGCCAGTTTACTCTCCTTCAGACTTTGTGTGAGTGGAAGAAACGGTGCCTCAGCAGTGGTGTCAGTGGACGAGTGGGAGGAATGGTGCCATAGTGTTGGTATCAATGGGCGGAATAGTGCCCAATGGTTGGTGTCAGTGGGGAGAAATACTCGCCCATTGCTGGTGTCAGTGGCAGAAATTATGCCTCATTGTTGGTGTCAGTGGGAGGAACAGTGCCCCCTTGTTGGTGTTAGTGGCATGAATTATGCCCCACTGTTGGTGTCAGTAAAAGGAATGGTGCCTCATTGTTGGTGACAGTGGAAGGAATGGTGCCTCATTCTTTGTGACAGTGGGAGAAGCGCGCTCCATTGTTAGTTGCAGTGGTGGGAATTATGCCCTACTGTTGGTGTCAGTTGAAGGAATGGTGCCTCATTGTTGGTGTCAGTGTAAGGAATGGTGCCTTATTGTTGGTGTCAGTGGGAGAAGCGTGCTCCATTGTTGGTTGCAGTGGAGGGAATTATGCCCTACTGTTGGTGTCAGTGAGTGGAAGGAATGGTGCCTCATTGGTGTCAATGGGAAGAATAGTGCTTCATATCATACTCCCACAAGGGCCAGATAAAGGGCCACAGTTTGAAGACCATTGGCCTATAGCAATTTGTTTATGTATAATTACATAATGGAATATGTAACGAATTTACTTGTGCAGACTTGTCGGGTCTGAAATAGTTTGATTTAAATGTAGCCACAAGGTACAGTGTAGTTTGCACTCTGTCAATGCTGTTTCATCCAGTGAAGCTTGCGCTCTGCCTATACTATTGAACCCTAAGGGCTTGTTTACACATGCTTCAAGGACTGTGGTCAGATCGCTTTTCAGAGGCGTTTAACAGACAGTGAGCAGGTGATTTGTCTTTTGATTTGTGTTTGAAGGGGAGGAGGTAAAGAGCAGCTCAACCACATGTTTCTACTGCACCCCAATCGCAGGTGTAAACAGAGTCTGGAGCAGACAGAATCTGGAGCATCTGCGCACAGTAACCAATCCGCTTCTCTCTTCGGCTAGTTCAGTTAAGCTTTGAAAATAAAAGATAGAAACTGATTGGTTGCCATGAACAGCTACTGAAGATTTGGTCCACTCCAAACCCTGTAATTTCCCCTCAGTGTGCTTTAGGGCCTGTGTTAATGGATTTTTGTTTACCTCAAAAGAGTTTTGCATTCCCATAAAAGTCGATGAAGGTTGCAAAACTCACTTTAACCACTCACCCTCCAGAGGATTTACCCCCTTCCTGACCAGGACATTTTTTGCGTTATCTTTAAC